TTCATTCGTCCATCCATCCGTCCAGACATCCATCCATCCATCCAGTCATTTTATTTCTCTGTCCATCCATCCACTTTTCATCCAGTCATTTTATTTCTCCATCCATCCATCCATCCATCCATCCATCCATCCATCCATCCATCCATCCATCCATCCATCCAGTCATTTTATTTCTCCATCCATCCATCCATCCATCCATCCATCCATCCATCCATCCATCCATCCATCCATCCATCCATCCATCCTTCTATTCACCCATATAGTCGTTTTATTTCGTCGTCCATCTATCCCTCCATCCAGTCATTTTATTTCTCCATCCATCCATCCATCCATCCATCCATCCATCCATCCATCCATCCAGTCATTATATTTTCTTATCCATCCATCCATCCATCCATCCATCCATCCATCCATCCATCCCTCCATCCAGTCATTTTATTTCTCCATCCATCCATCTATCCATCCACCCATATAGTTGTTTTATTTTGTCGTCCATCTATCCCTCCATCCAGTCATTTTATTTCTCTATCCATCCATCCATTATTACATACATCAAATTGTTTTACTTATTCATCCATCCATCCATCCATTTTATTTCACCGTCCAACTATCCATTCATCATCCAGTCATTTTATTTCTCCATCCATCCATCTATCCATCCACCCATATAGTTGTTTTATTTCGTCGTCCATCTATCCCTCCATCCAGTCATTTTATTTCTCTATCCATCCATCCATTATTACATACATCAAATTGTTTTACTTATTCATCCATCCATCCATCCATTTTATTTCACTGTCCAACTATCCATTCATCATTCAGTCATTTTATTTCTCCATCCATCTATCCATTCATCCCTCCAGTCATTTTATTTCTCCATCCATCCATCCATAGTCATTTTATTTCTCCGTCCATCCATCCATCCATCCATCCCTCCAGTCATTTTATTTCTCCATCCATCCATCCATAGTCATTTTATTTCTCCGTCCATCCATCCATAGTCATTTTATTTCTCCGTCCATCTATCCATCCATCCCTCCAGTCATTTTATTTCTCCATCCATCCATCCATAGTCATTTTATTTCTCCGTCCATCCATCCATAGTCATTTTATTTCTCCGTCCATCTATCCATCCATCCCTCCAGTCATTTTATTTCTCCATCCATCCCTCCAGTCATTTTATTTCTCCATCCATCCATCCATAGTCATTTTATTTCTCCATCCATCCATCCATAGTCATTTTATTTCTCCGTCCATCTATCCATCCATCCATCCATCCATAGTCATTTTATTTCTCCGTCCATCTATACATTCATCCAATCACTTTATTTCTCTTTCCATCCTTAGTTTTACTTTCTTTAAGGGTGGTTACTTTTCCCCCCAAAAAAACTATTTTCCAAAGGCTTTTTTTCCCTACTCTTAACTTATTATGACCTATTAAAGATCATTAAAAAAATTGTTTGATTTTTTTTATTTTATAAAACTTGAATGCATGGTTTTACATCTAACAGATTCCCTGTATTTCTGCTTCTAGTGCTAGTGTCTAATGTCACCTTGTCATACATTTAGAAAAAAATTATGGCAATAATTGTTAAAATGGTATTTATTTTGAACTATTTGTTTAGCCCATGTTAAAAACTACAGACTTGGTCTTTGAGTTTTGATGCTAAATTTTTCTATAGCTAAATTACAAAGCTTATTTATTATATTTGGTTTTTATAGGGTTTTCTGTTGCTTTGCTTTTTATGTTCTTCCTGAATGTCGATGTAACGTAATTTTGTTCTGCATTACATCTACTGTGATGTTTTGAATGACAAAAATAAAGAAACAGAAATGAAACTGAACTGAAACAAAAAAAGAATAAAATTAAGTTGAAATTCTTTAGACCTCTAAAAATGAACACTTAAGACTTGCATGTAAAATAAATATTATCACAAAACATTTTAATGCGTTTATTTATTTCGCTTATTTTAGGTCCCTTTTTGGGCCCATTTAATAATGATGTTGTGTTGGTGATAGTTGATTTGACTTGTTGTGATGGTCTAAGTAGTTTTCTGTCATATACAGTGCTGTAGTTTGCCTGTGCTGTTTGTGATCTGCTCAGCATTGTACCCTTAGGCTGTTTGCAGGGACCTTTATTAGTCAGGCTTGAAAGACGCAGTGAAGGTGAAGGACAAGCAGACAGTGCTGGTAGAGGATGTGTTATCATCAGATCACCCTGACCCACAGATACAGACTCATCACTTTACTAGTGTTGTGGAAAGTTGCTCTGAATCTCAACAAATATATTTTTAACTTTCAAGAAAAGAAGCTGAGGTCTTTGATATTCTGAGTTCGGAGTTTTTAGATGGTCAATCGAGGTCTCAATGTGCTAAAAGCCACAGTTTATATACAGTTTCTTATCCATAGCTGTCTCGCCTTGCCTGTGCTTGATTTCCTGAATCTTCTTGTGAACTAGATCAAATACATTTTAGGAGACAATTAACTTTGAAAGAGCATCCGAAAGCAGTATGCAAAAGATTTGTCTAATGTTAGGTGCTTTTCTATCCATTTTCAAAGTTGTCCTTTACATACCGGGTTCGAAAATGTATCAATCAATCAGTTAATAATAATACTATTGTTTGAATATCCAGTCAAGTAATACATTTTTGTATTTTTAAAAAACATTTTAAAAATCAGAGGTTTAATTTCCTGTTTTTATAAAACAAATCTTAATTGAATATACAATTGGGTTCATTTGACTCTAATGTTATTTTTAAAGTTATTTTTATTTACTTTAAAGTTATATATGAAGAGTTTAGATGCAAAAACCTCAATGCCGTTTTTGATTTTCTTCTAAATGTAATTTTTCTCCCATTCAGGTTCAGAAATTTTACTTTTATTGTCACAAATAAGTTCACTCATTGCCTTTAAATTGAAATACATGAACATAAACACAGGAGGCTAAGAACAATGTTCATTTTGGGAATTTGTTTTAGATGCCATTTAAAGGATTTTGCATCTGAACTCTTCATATAAGTATTTTAAAGAATTTTTTTATTTTCAGAATTTTGAATATATTTTTACTTAATTATTTTGCTTAATTTAATAAATACTTTTTAAAAATTGTATGTGTGTGTATGTATATATATATATATATATATATATATATATATATATATATATATATATATATATATAGATATAGATATAGATATGTATATATATATATATATATATATATATATATATATATATATATATATATATATGTATATAGATATAGATATGTATATATATATATATATATATATATATATATATATATATATATATATATATATACAGTATATATATACAGTATATATATATTATGCAATAATACTATATTATGCACTAAAAGCAAATTCAAGGTATTAATAAAAACTACAGTAGTAATTTAGTGATCCTAAAATATGACATTTTTATATTTTTATATACAAGTATTTTATATTTTTATTATATTATATTTTTATCACAAATCAATTTAATTCTATTTACTGTACCAAAAATGTGTTATTTAAAATCATAAATTATATAGCTGAATATTGTAGTTTCTACTGTATGATTTATTAGCATTTGTTGTACTATAATAAATTAAAAAATATATTTTTTTATTAAATTGAAATTGTATTATTATTATTATTATTATTATTATTTTATTTACAGTTAACATTTATTTACAGAATTATTAGCCCCACTTTTATTTTTCTTCTTTTTTTTTTTTTTACCTAAATGATGTTTAACAGAGCAAGGAAATTTTCACAGTAATTCTGACAATATTTTTTCTTCTGGAGAAAGTCTTATTTGTTTTATGTCGGCTGGAATAAAAGCAGTTTTACATTTTTAAAAAACCATTTTAAGTCAATATTATTAGCCCCCTTAGGCTATTTTTTTCCGATAGTCTTCATCGTTATACAATAACTTAGTTAACCTAACCTCCATAGTTACCCTAATTAACCTAGTTAAGCCTTTAAATGTCACTTTAAGCAGAATATTAGCTTTTTGAAAAATATATTGTAAATATTATTTACTGTCTTCATGGAAAAGATAAAGTAAATCAGTTATTACAGATGAGTTATTCAAACAATTATGTTTAAAAATGTATTGAAAAAATCTCTGTTAAACAAAAGTTACAGAAAAAAATAAACAGGAGGGCGAATAATTCAGGGGGTTTAATAATTCTGACTTCAACTGTATTACCATTTCCCATGCATTGTGTTCTTTATGACTTTTATATGCTTTTCTTTTACAAAGTAATCTTAAAATTTTATTTTCACTTATTTTACTTAATTTTACTCAATTTAACTTTATTCTATTTGTGCTCAAATACATTTCTTGATGAAAATCCCTCATATGCATAACTTCTCACAAAATTCTTCCAAAGTACTAGTATGGCCAGGGATTTTTTCATCTGTAATAACGTAACATTAAAACTTACTTATTCGGATCTTTCCGAATTCACAAGTATAACCGGTTAACTGAAACAGTTTAAAGTCTGACAGTATTCAGTTTTATTTATTTATATATTTAGTAACTATAAAGCAGGCTTATTGGTTAACACTGTCTCTCCACAGCAAGAAGGTCGCTGGTTTGAGACTCAGCTGAGCCAGTTCTGTGTGGAGTTTGCATGTTCTCCCTTTCTTCATGTGGGTTTCCTCTGGGTGCTGCGGTTTCCACCACAGTCTAAAGACATGCGCTATAAGTGAATTGTTCGTTGTGTGTGTGAATGTAAGAGTGTAGGGGTGTTTCTCAGTACTTGGTTGCAGCTGGAAGGGCATCTGCTGCATGAAACATATGATGGAATAGTTGGCGGTTCATTCCGCTGTGGTGACCCATGATAAATAAAGGCACTAAGCTAAAGGAAAATAAATGAATGTATAAATGAATCTGCTATAAAAATAAACTTGAATATTCCATTTCCTCAAAACCAACCCATATGATCTCTAATCTGCATTTGTGTGTGTGTTTTATCCCTGCAGTGTGTCGGTGTGGTCAGCGAGCGTGCACAGACTCTGGTCAGTGTTGTCATCCTCAGTGTTTGGGCAGCTGCAGTGTTCCCGACAGTGACCGGGCCTGCGCCGCCTGCCAGAACTACAATCACGAGGGCCGCTGTGTGGAGGACTGTCCACCGGGGACGTATAAGTTTGAGGGCTGGCGCTGCATCACCAGAGATTTCTGCTCTAAAGTGCATCTGCCAGACTACGACCGATTCGTCATCCACGCTGGAGAGTGTATGTCTGACTGCCCACCCGGATTCACACGCGACGAGAGCCATGGGTACAAACGCTTTTATGTTTAATTTGTTTGGGTTTCTTTGGAGTGTGTTCATTCTTTAATTGGAAAAATTGAGAGAATTGCTTAATTTTCTAGTTTTCAAACATATTATATTATTGTAAACAGTATTATAAACAGTAACTTTTTTTCATATATATATATTAATTTATACACTTATTTTGTTAAAGTGCTTTATTCCATTCAGAAAGTATGCAGTTAATTGAATGAATAATTAATATAATATTATTATTATTATTATTATTATTATTATTATTATTATATTATTATTATTATTATTATATTATTATTATTATTATTATTATTATTTAATAATGATGAATAATAATAATTATACTTAAAATAATAATAAAAATAATAATAATGATACTTCTCATTGTTATTAATAATAATAATAACAATAATAATACTTATTATAATTAACTATTATTATAATTAATACCAAAATAAGTTTTCAGGATGTAATTATTTGTAAACATGTATAAGAATAATAGTAATAATAATAATATTAATAATAATATTAAAATAATAATGATTTTGTTATTATTATTGTTATTAATCATAATAATTTATGAAAATAATAATAATAAAACTTAATAATAATAATAATAATAATAATAATGTTTTTTTATTTTTTATTAATAATAATAATATTTATTATAATTAACTATTATTATTAATAGCTAAATGTTTTTTTTCTGGAATGAAATTAATAATAATAATAATAATAATAATAATAATAATAATTATTATTATTATTATTATTATTATTATTATATACAATAATATTAATAACAATAGTAAAAACTATTAAAATTATAATAATAATTATTATTATTGTTATCGTTAATGATACTAATACTTAATAAGAATATGGCTTCTTACTGTCATTAATAATAATACTTATTATAATGAACTATTATTATTAATAACTAAATATTTTTACAGTGTAATTATTAATAAAAATGTATAATAATGATAGCTATAGTAAAATAATAATAAAATAATAATTGTTGTTGTTATTATCATAGTTGTTAATAATAATTATGATTAGTAATAATAATAATAATAATAATAATGAGTATAATTATTATTATTATTATTATTGTTGTTGTTATTATTATTATCATCATCATTAATAACTATTATTATTAACTATTATTATTGTTTACCAAAAATTTTTTTAGGATGTAATTATTAATAATAATGTATTATAATTATTATTAAATCATTAATAATGCTAAGTATTATTATAATCAGTTATTAATAATAATAATAGTTAAATACAGGATCTGAAATAAATTATTTATAATAATTTATAACAATACTAATAACAATAGTAAAAATAATATTAAAATAATAATAATAGTTGTTGTTGTTGTTGTTATTATTATTAATGTCATTATTGTTATTATATATCTTCATCATCGTCTATTTAATCTTTTTCTTCACTTTAATAATAATAATAATAATAATAATAATAATTATTATTATTATTAAAAACTAAATATTTATTGGATGAAATTATTAATTTTTCATAAAAAGTATTATTAATAACAATACTACTACTACTACTAATAATAATAATAATTATTATTATTACTACTATTATTGTTGTTGTTTTACTTGCTTTTTATTAATAATTTATTCTTGTAACATATATTAAGCCATTTTCAGGACTAATAATTATGAGATATGCCCCCCCCCCTTCCAAATCATCCAATTATAGTCATTTCTAAAGGATCATATGATGATGTAATGATGAAAATTCATGTTGCCATTAATTAAATAAATTACAGTTTAAAGTAATTTTTTTAATTTGTAAAAGTTTTTTTTTTTTGTAATTTTAATTCGCTTAAAGACATGTGTATAAAAGAGATTGTATGGATGTTTCCTAGTACTGGGTTGCAACTGGAAGGGCATTTGCTGCGTAAAACATATGCTAGATAAGTTGGCGGTTCATTCCGCTGCGGCAACCCCTGGTGAATAAAAGGACTAAGCCGAAGGAAATTGAATGAATGAATGAGTTTTGTTAATTTCCACAATTTGACTGTGGTAAAGACACAGTAGTTGTCAAAACATATATTATTTTTCCTCACATTCACTCATTAATGAGAAGCTGCTTTTCAGATTCAGTTATGAGCATTTTAGAAAATAACTATTCATTGACCCCCTTCAGACCAATAACGTAAATGATGTGGGTCATTGAATACATTCTGGGTCAAATATTTTTATAAACCTACAACTAAATAAGTTCATTCAGGTTTTGATTTTAACAAGTATCTAGCTTATTTCAGCTACTAATATGCCTCTATTGTTCAAATTCAGCATAATTTCCCCCACTATCAAAATTCTTCCTAAAGTTAAACTCCCAAATCACAGACAGTTAAGTTCTTCTGCCGGAAAGAGCAAGGAAATTCAGCAACTTTAAGACTGAAGGTCACATGATAAGGTGAAAGTGGGAGATTTGGTGTTGGTTTTTGCGGTGACGTGTCCTGAATGATCCTCTTTTTGTCCCAGTGTGTCTGTCAGCATGTTGTGCACTGCCTGTGACGGCCCGTGTGACAAGATCTGTGATGAAAAGGTCATCGACTCGGTGGATGCAGCGCAGTCGCTTAAGGGCTGCACCGTTATCAAAGGCAACCTGCATATCAACATCCGCCGAGGCAGTGAGTACCTGCACATCCCAACACTATCCCACAGCAATTTGTAGCCTTTGGATTTAGTGACTAATTCGTATGAACTATTATGATCTCATGTGTACAATTCAGAACTATTTGCTCATGCCCTAATGATGCGGTTGGGTTTAGGGATGGGCCATGTCTCCATATCTCCTTTTAAAAACCATACATTTTCATATGGCTGTACAAATTAGCCACTAATCAGACACAACCTAAAATAGTTACGTTTCCACATGAGACCAGGCTTCCAGGTCCTGTTAGACTTGTGCCACATTGCCTTTCCTGCACTGATACACACTCTCTGTGTTTCTCCGTCTCTCCAGCTAACATCGCCTCAGAGCTGGAGAACTTCCTGGGACTCATCAAGACTGTGACGGGATACATTAAAATACGGTCATCGCACACCCTGACCTCGCTCTCCTTCCTCAAGAGCCTGAGATACATCCATGGAGAGGAACTCTGGGACAAGTAAGATGGCTTGCTTTAACACTTTGAAGTGAAAATTTGCAATGTTTATTTAGCTGGCGCACATCGATAGTCTTTAGGCAAACAATTAGTCTGTGAAAAAAATGTGCTTTGGTAATCTTCAATCAAATTCTCTGGATTTACCTCTGTGATTGGTTGTGTTTTGCGTTTCTCTAATTATGGCTCGTTTCAACTGAATGATACAGTACGGATCAGCCACAGGTCACCTTTATCACGCTTGCGTTTCCACTGCTAAATGGGTACCAATGGTACTCTTTTGGTGGGTGTGGTGTACAACAGAAGCTTTCAGTCGAAGTCATTTTCGCTAGAGGAAATGTCTACAGTAAAGCTGTACGAGTCATTCACATATCATATGAGAAGCACTCCTCACAAAACAGATGCTTTATACAAATAAATACTTGTTTATAAATGTTTATTACTAACTTTTCTATGAACATGATTTGATTATAACTGCAGATCAGTGACAGTGTGAAATAGCCTACTGTAACGTCTGCAATTATGTAAAATAAATAAATGCAACATATATGAAGACATACAGACACTTACAGTCTCTGATATGTTACCACTCACAGAAAAACTACATACAGCATACATTTAGTCCTTATTTGGGTTCAAAAACAACACGAAATATAGCCCCACAGTCAGTGCAGTCCCTGTCATCTGTGTCTGTAATCTTCAGCAGCACGTGTAGCCTCTTGTTAGAAAGTATTTCCGTCATTCTGAGTTCATAATAGTCCAAAAGGTGATGATAATAGTTAAATATGGCAGTTTGTTCATGTTTTAGGTTGCAGATGCATCATTTGCTGCTGTTTTTTTTTATGGCTTCTCCTTTGTTTTTTCACGCATAACTCTCGCGTTTGTTCCTTTCTGACAGAATCGGATATCAAAGCTCTTCAATGATCATGAGCATATTATTAATATGAGCTCAAGAAGTTTGTTATTTCAAATATAGATGAGATTGCGAGATTTCTGGACAAACTGAAACCGCTAACACTTTTAGACGGGCTTGTAAAACAACAACAGGGCACAGCAGATTTTGTTCTTCTTGGCTTTGTGGCTGTTCATCAAGATGACGAAAAGGTTTTTTTGCGCTCGGGTCAACCATGGCTCGATATTATGTGTATATATTATTACGGTGTAATGTCGCGGCTGTGTATTCGAAACATGGCGGTTCCTTTGTTTTCATTCTGGCTTGTTGCGCGAGCGAATGACGTATCTCTGTAAACCAATAGCGCTCAGCTGCGTGTCTAGCTCCGGATTAGAATATCTTCGGAATAGACCCTTCACACATCCATTCCAAAATACCGCTACATTCTGTCATCATTACCCTAAAATTAGCTCTAAACGGCAGTGCTTGTATTGTAAAAATAGAAGTGGTCTGGCTTTTGTAAAATGAAAAAATTCTGTCACATAAACAAACCTTGCACGCTGAGTCTGATGCATATTAATTATTCTATTACTGAAAAAACACAAAACAATTCAGAGTCGGTTTAAGCTGAGATACTTTGTTCTCCGTTCTTCTCCAAAGTAGAAAAAGTAAAAGGAATATGCGAGCAACACTTCATAGAGAGGAAGGATGTTCAGCTCATTGTCAAAGAGCTTTGCTGGATTATCCCCAAATCCAAAGTTTATTTCAGGAAATGAGTGAAATTTAAATACATTGCTTGTGATACTTCACAAATTCATGTACTTAATTCTTAAATCCTGAACAAGACATTACCTATAGACAGTACAATAGACGGCAGCCACATTGATTTGTCGAAGCAACGAACTGAAAGCAGACTACAAGGCATCAAGCTTTCTATTATAATGTCTATGAGCTGTAGCTTTTTCTGATTAAACCCGGATCGAATTGTTTTTATGACAGACAAAACTTTCGGAGGTAGTGTGCCAATACGATTGATACAGCGTGAGGTCGAATTTATTTTTTTAACGTGCAAAATTTACAGACGAACATTTTAGATTCAGTGTGCAATAACCTTCTGAAATAGCTAATCAGAGTTTACTGTAGGTCAGAATACACTAAATATCCCTCAAAATACTGAGCACCTAAAGATGTTTTATTAATACATTAGATGTAATTTAAATAAAAAGCCTACATACATTTGGTTCACTAAAGCATTACACAAACTAACATTACCGAAAAAGTTGCCTCCCCCCGCATTGTCAATGCATAATTCAAACCCTGCTTATAACATATGAGTTGGTATGCTCCAAAAGGAGGACAAAATTTGCATTTAAAGGATATCAGCATTCAGATCTTGCAGTTTCGCTCTTCTACCTATATGAATCAAAAATATTAAGTAATTGTAATTAATAATAAAGTTTTTGGAGGGAACTAACACCGAATTCAAATACCACTTATTACCTAATCCGACAATATATGAAAGAGTTTTAAAAGACTGCGGATCATGCCTGTTGTTGGTTATAAAGGTGTTGTGAATCTCTGAAATGACATTGATTATTTCTGTCAAACTTTTCCTTAAACAGAATGGGTCCCGTGCGTCATAAACGGGATGTGTAATTTAATTCAGGCACTGTTTGTTTACTGTACTGTTATCCCATTTTCAGGACAGATCAAAACAGCCCGCTCTGTGCCATGTTGTTACGAAACACTAAATTGAGCTCTGGGAACGCTTTTAGAGACAAATATAAACAAACAAGCCCTCCATCCACATATTTAACAATTATAAGCCTGTTCCGTTAACATTCCCTCAAATACACATGGCCAAACACACGTCAGAGCTGTAATACACCGCATTGATAAATGCAGCAGGCAGAGCAATTGTGTTTTATTGACTTGACAGTGTCATTATGGAGACACTGCAGGCTGAAACTGTTTGTTTTTCGTGCTCCTGTCATTTTTTTAATAACTTTCTTTATTGTTTTTCAAACATTCAAACACCATGACTTACGACTTTGGTCCAACAAACATTTACGCAACAATTAGCAATAAAAGATGCAATATACAAACAATACATTCATTCATTCATTTTCCTTCGGCTTAGTCTCTATTTCAGAGGTCGCCACAGCGGAATGAACCACCAACTTTTCCGGCATATGTTTTACACAGCGGATGCCCTTCTTGCTACAACCCAAGTATTAGAAAACACCCTCACTCTCTCGTATTCAGACACATACACTGCGGACAATTTACTTTATTCAATTCACCTATAGCGCATGTCTTTGGACTGTGGATGAAATCGGAGCACCCACAGGAAACCTATGCAAACTTGGAGAGAACCTGCATACTCCACACAGAAATGCAATCATAGTCGCACCCACCAAAAATGTTAAGCACTGTTACTACACGTTTTTTATTAACAGATTTATTGCATTTAAAATCAGCTCTAATCAAAACTAACAAATAAACAAAAATCTGCATGCGCTCTCCGGCCCTGCACACACTGCTTGACATGAATGAGATGAACTGAATGACAATAATAACTGTGCTGTTCTCACAGGTTGTGTCTGATATTGCACAAATTAAATTGACGTATAACTTATTTTTTGCATACATCATCTTATTAGCAGTAAAGTGTTTTCATGATCTTCAATATTAGTTTCATCTCGGTGAATGCATGCTCTTTAGCGGTGGTGAACGCGGTGTCAGTTGCACGACTGACAGCATCGTGACGAGTAAATGAAGTATTAAATAATGTTAGAACATCTCGTGCTTAATGTGTAGATTAAGTGGCAAACGCTTTTACCTGAAAACTCCTTCCCACTGGCTTTACAGTGAATGCCTTAGTCATTTTCATAGCGGACTTTAACCACTGGAAGTCTTTTATCTACTCTTTGAAAAGTGTAAATGCTGGATTGACATTTACCACATGATCACTGATCAGATGTACCATTATTTGTAACTTTAGGTGGTTTCTAAAACTAAATCTGTTGGTGTTATCTTCATCATCCCATATCCAGACCTTTACATTGTCGCAGTTGTAGCTTCCTGTCATCTGAACTGAGTGATTGACAGCTGATATTAACCAATCCATTTGCATTCTGTTCTAGCGCAGTGGGCCAATAAGAAGAGCTTGATGGTGGGACAAGCATTGCGAGCTTTGTTTACTGCAGCAAGTTGACATGTCAATCGTTTTAAACCATTCCTGAGCGCTGCGTTGGGTGTTTTCAGCTCCAAAGATGCATAATGCATAATTCGTGCATGTAGTGAACATTCGTGGTCACACGACAACAATTTGATGCATTTTTATGCATTATGCATTTTGAGGTTGCATAGATAAAATTTTGGGAGCATATGCAACCAAAACAGTTGCAATTTCAAGCCCTGCCTACCGTTTACAAACAACAGTGGCACCACCAGTATTTTGTAGCCATAGTATTGCGATAATAACATTGTACCGGTAAACCGTGCAACCCTAACTAAAATATAACTGAATGCAAACTATACAGAGATATTTCAAACAAAAGCTCAAGAACATCAATAAATCTATGACTAAAATTCAAATTGGAAAAAATCTATTTGTTGATTTCACACTTGAAAATGGCATCAATAAATTTATCTTTATTTACAAATGGATGGGACAACCACTACTGCATCCAAAATGGTGAAAAGCCTTTGAGTAACGATTGATGACCAACTAAACACATTTCTAGAACGGCTCGATCTTGCAGATTCGCACTATATAACATCAGAAAGGTCCGACCCTTCCTATCTGAACATGCAGCTCAACTCCTTGTTCAAGCTCTTGTTCTCTCCAGACTGGACTATTGCAACTCTCTACTAGCCGGGCTTCCAGCTAACTCTATCAAGCCTCTTCAGATGCTTCAGAACGCAGTAGCACGAGTGGTCTTCAATGAACCTAAAAGAGCACATGTCACTCCGCTGCTAGTCCGTTTGCACTGGCTGCCAGTTGCTGCTCGCATCAAATTCAAAGCTCCGATGTTTGCTTACAAAGCGATTCATGACTGCGCTCCTTCTTATCTGCTCCCACTTCTGCAGACTTATGTGCCCTCCAGAAACCTGCGCTCTGTGAATGAACATCGCCTCGTGGTTCCATCCCAAAGAAGGAAGAAACCACTTTCCAGAACTCTTGCATTCAATCTGCCCAGTTGGTGGAATGAACTCCCTAACTGTCACTCGCTGTCTTCAAGAAACGACTAAAAACTCAACTATTTAGTCTCAACTTTCCTTACTAATATACAATTCCCTCTATGGCTCCACCACTAACTACTACAAAAAAAAAAAAAAAAAATATTTACTAATGTTTTGATTTTTACACTTTCTTTACATTAGCATTGGAAAACTCTAGATCAGTCAATAAATGTAAAAACTTAATTGGTGTAATAAAAAAACACAGAATCTTACCAAAAGTGTGTATTAAAACACAAAATTTAAACATAGTAACATAAACTAAAATAAAACCGAATGCATACTATAAGGAAATATTTCAAACAATAGCAAAAAGTGACTAAAAATAAAATCAGAAATCAGACCATTTGTTGATTTCGCACTTGGAAAATGGGATAAATAAATTTAATCAACATTTTAAAAAATTTGTAATAAAAAATGTTTGCTTTTATTCATGTAATAAATCAACTGGGAGAGTATGGTGATACAACAACTCTTACATTTTTACACCCTGTTGACCTGCAGTGTCTTGTCTTTAAAGCAGAGTGTGTGTAATGCGTCAGACCCACGCTTTTAGGTGTGCCGTCAGCTTAGGAGAAACATTTGCTCTTAATGCATGTGAAGTGCTTACATTCCTGACGCCGCTTTTACTGAAGCTGTTTATCTTTGATGAACATTTACGTCAAAGCTAGTGAATCATCAGCCTATATATCCTGTGAAGTAATTGCCACAAATGCCTTGCGGGTACATATACTGTACACTGTATATACACTTTGGGTATTTATGGGAGTCAAAACCACACAGTACAGGTTTCAGATAGTGGCTTTTTGAATGTTTAGTCTTCTATATAATGTGTTCAAAAACAGACTAGCTGTTAATGAATAGACTGACTATTTATTTACAAGCTGCAGTTTTGCGTTGTCACTGTAGTGGTCAATGGGTAAACTGTGTGTTACACTCCAGAGAACACACAGCATTTCTAAAAACACACACATGTTCCTGCATGGAGGAGGAAAGTTATGAAAATTATTTCCAAGAAAGCATCATGGAGAATTTTAGATCAGTTACCAAATGTGAAAACTAAAACAACAAACATTCATTCATTCATTTTCCATCAGCCCGGTCTCTATTTCAGGGGTCGCCACAGAGGAATGAACTGCAAACTATTCCAGCATTTATTTTAGGCAGCAGATGCCCTTCCAACTGCCACCCAGTACTGGGAAACATACACACTCATTCACACGCATACAAAACAGACAATTTATTTAATCAATTCACCCATAGTGCATGTGGGGGACTTTAAACTATGGGGGAAACTGGAGCACCTGGAGGAACCCACGTAAGCACAGGGAGAACATAAAAACTCCGCAAAAACTGTGGCATCCAGAAATGCTAACTGGCCCAGCTGGGACTCGAACCAGTGACCTTGTTGCTGTGAGGTGACAGTGCTAACCACTGAGCCACCGTGCCACTTATAAACAAAAAACAAGATAAAAAATATTGAAAACTACAGTACTTAACTAAAATTGTAATTAAACCACAAAATGTAACAATTCTTAATAAAGGAAGTTTTCTCAATAATACAAACTATACAGAAAAAGAAAAAAATCTACACAAAATTACTAAAGCTGTAAGTAACATTAAAACTGAAACCGGCACTTGTAGAGTTCACATGTTGTTAACATAAGTTCAGGTTTAGATTTAAAAAAAAAAAAAAAAAAAGCAAACAGGATATGTGTAACATTTGTTTTTAAAATAACTTAAAAACATCCCATAATGTAAGTAAGTTATCATTTAATAAGAATAAGTCAATAACTCAATTTTGACAAAAATGTCAGATAGAACCTTATCATTCTAAGGTGACGATATATGTAAGCAATATCACACTCATAGCAGTGCGATATGGCTGTATATCGGCATTGTCGGGAGTTGTGCGACAATATACAAGCATATCGTACTGCTACGAGTGTGATATTGAGTTTATACAACAGTTCAACGCCATAATCATTTATATAAAAAAGAAAATCAAACTTAGAGTCTTAAAATCCTTTTAAAACTACATCTGCAGCTGACGTAAAAAGAGACTTAAATAGGTTCTGCAAAATATTCCACTTTTGGGACATTGAACTCTTAAGGGTACAGTAGAAATGATAAAATAGCAAAAATTTTAAAGTTTCAAAAATGTAACCCGATTTGGTTGTACAAAAAAAATGTTTGTGTTTTGTGAATTGTGGGGAAGTTTCCATTGTTTTTATACTAAACAGTAAAAAGTGATTAGTTACTGAAAACGAGTAAACCCATTGCCTTAAAAGCAACAAGTTGACTTAAAAAAATTATGTAAGTAAACCTGTTTTAACTTGGAACTGTTAAATTAAATAAATTTTTATTATTATGCTAATTCTATTCACTTTTTGTTTTTAAATAAAAGTAAACTAATCCCTTTTTACATTACACATGTAATATTTGTTTTATTTCCAGCTTTTCTGTATCTAGCAAAATGACAGTAACTAAAATAAATGTGCTCTTCCAGCCTCCAGTGTGTCTTCTAAATCAATATGGGCTATAATTGTAGATTTTATAGACTTAATGAAGCATCAAATATGTAATGTTTTAATAATTACAGTAATTATTTGAAAACAGACAAACTAAAATAGTCTGACACTGTGAAAAGTGATTAGTTGACTTTATGAAAGTGAATAAACTTTGCATATTTATAAAAATTAAGTCAACTTTACAGGTCCAAGGTACAAATGATTTATTTACATTAGTTTTGCAAAGTCAACTTGTTGCTTTTAAGGCAACTGGTTTACTTGCTTTATGTAAATAATCACTTTTTTACAGTGTGTGCAAACTGTATGTTATGTCTCCTACCCAAACCCTAATCTCTAAACCCAACCCTTATAGAAAACTGTACATTTTCACGTTCTGAAAACTCATTCTGTATGATTTAGAAGCTTCTGGAAAAAACTCAAGACATCAGCAATGTCCTCATAATTCACCACCTTGTTAAACCTGTAAAATATCCATGATGTCATACAGATCTGTGATATGTTTCAAAAACACATACACACACCCACACTCACACACACATATATAAAAGGAATATCACACGAGTAGCAGTGCGATATGGCTGTATATTGGCGATATTGCGTTTATACAACAGTTCGACTGCATAATTGTGTATATAAAAAAGAAAATCGAACACGGAGAGTCTAAATATCCTTTTTTTAAGAGGAACTACTTTCTTCCACCATTCATTCACATCTGCAGCTGACGTTAGATGAGCAGTTAACCATTGCTTATTCACGAACGTCACTTTAGAGCTAGTGTTTGAATGATTCTCTAGTGTAATATCTGAAGTGATGACAAAACAGCTGATTTCGCTCATTTTTTTTAAGATCATAAGGCTGAAAGGCTCAGTTTAGAGACATTTCCCAGTATTTCTCTGTTGCAAACGGGAATCACAATAATTAACCCCGAAAAAAGCAAAGCAAAGCAAAGACCACCAGATTACTATGATATAATTACTGCAATACAACATACAAAGGAGAGAGATCAACTTACTTGTTTGTTATGAACAGCTGTAGTTTGAAATTCTGCCGAGTTTTTCTCCTCTAAGGGCATATTATGCGGACTCTGTCACCATCTTGTGGCGGAACGTCAACTGTCTTTACTCTGCTCAATGACAGGCTAATAGCCGCCGACGCGCTGTCTCTCAGAAATTTTAAATATTTAAAATAAGCACTATCCTTATAAATAAACTGCATAGTTGCAATCTAAGTAACTACATTCTCGCCTGAAAACCCTCAATAGTTAATTATGTTGTCCAACAGCTGCAGTATTTGTCAAACTGTTGTGACTCTCTTGATCTGCTGTTGCTCTATGTGGGCGGAGTAATACACAAGGGTGAAGAGGCTGTAAGAGTTCTGATATTGCAGAATATTGCACAGCTATCAGCCAATCAGATTCAAGAACAAGACAGAACTGTATATGTACCATATATGTTTTAGGTGTATTTTGCCAAAACATGAAGTATTCTTATAAAATATTAAGTATTTTGGACGAACTTTCCCTTTGAAGTGAATGAACCATTTAAGCTCAGCAGTGAAAAAACAAAACATAGCCATTATCAATTATTAATAAAATGTGCTGGTCTAAAAAAGGTAGTAGGACTCTGAAATGGAGTGAAAGTTGTATCTTAATTTTGTCAGGCGACATGACATTTGTTTTTGTTGTTGCTCCATATTAATAAAAGTGCAGATATGAATATCAATCAATGACTAATGAAGTTTTGGATGAAAACAACACTACTTTAGGGGATTCAATCCAGCAATTAAATGCATTTACACTCTCCAAACTGTCTGTCTGCTGGTGAAGCATATTTAACAGTTGAATCTGTTTGTTGCTCTTATTCTGTGTTCTTCAGCACGTATGCCTTCGCTGCTTTGGATAACCAGCATCTGCAGCTTCTGTGGGACTGGTCACAGCACAACCTGACCATAAGTGAAGGAAAACTGTACTTCCGGTTGAACCCCAAACTCTGCATGTCCGAGATCCGCAAAATGTGGGCCAAGACAGGAATTAAGGACAACTTTGTGGAAAGAGATTTCCGCAACAACGGGGACCGTGCAAGCTGTACATGTTATTTATTATCACTTGATTGATTTATTCAGGAATGTAAACTTTAGTGTGCATTTAAATGTTTCATTTTGTACTTTCTGTTTTTCTTAGGTGGGACTAAAATCTTAAAGTTTACTTCGAATAACACGAGGAGTAATCAAATCAAGCTGATGTGGGAAAGTTATCGACCGTCTGATTCCAGAGATCTTGTCAATTTTATTGTGTACTACAAAGAAGCGTAAGTTTGGGTTTTGTTTAGAAGCTTTTTCTCAAGCAAGGTTATTATAGTTTTGCATTTTTAGATGCTTTTTAACAAAAAAGGCTCTAACTTTTAGTTTAGTTTTAGTTAGTTTCATCAATGGCTAGTTTAAATTTTTGTTAGCAAATGAATTTGTAAAAGCGCCTACCCCACTGCCCCCACCCCCCAAAAAATGTAAAATTTATTTATATAGCACATTGTGATTTTTATAAATCCCAAAGTGCTTTACAAAGAAGATGCAAGCAAGCAGTATGGACATAAAACAAAACAGCAATAGGCATAAAAGATGTAAAATCGGTCATACGAAAAAACTGTTTATTTTCAATGCCTAAAAAAAGAAATTCATTGATCCTTTAGTTAATTCCGCTTGGTTAAAAGATGCTACCACAGTTGACCACACTAAACAGGATTAAAAATGAGACCATTGGCCCCCTGAGGAAGGCAATTTTGCTTCCTAACGACCTAGAAAATAGATGAGTCTTTAATTTAGACTTGAAAATTTGCAGTGACAGCCATTTTTAACCCTAGCGGCAGTGCGTTCCAAAGGTGTGGTTTTGCTTTTCGAGTAAATGTGTATTGTTTTAGTAATGTTTCAATATTTTTTATGTTAAATAAAAGAGTAGTTCAACTAAAACTGAATATGTGGTCCTGTTTTGCAATTTTGCTGGGAAATTAATTTGTAAAAGGCTAAAAAGCAACAGCAAAACAAACAATTCGTAAACAGCTGCAGCTTCAGATTTTTCTTTTATTAATTTCTTAATTGATTATTATTTTATTTCCGTTCGTTTCTTAGTGATTGTTACATGAATACATGGTTTTTCCATGTATTGTTTGTTTTTTTAAATTCATTTCGATTAACAAAAGTGTATTTTTATCAATAGATTTTATCTTGGTTGTTGTTTCATTTGCTAAAATATCTGATTCGAATGTTAGCCAGTAGTTAGCTACTAGTTGGCTGTTATCATCCATCCACATGGTTAATCAGCTATAAATCTCATACAGCTGTTGCCAGAAGTTAACAAGAATTATTTATATTATTTCATAAATTTCCTATTAATTGTATTTTATTTACCCCTACCCCAACCCTAAACCCAACCGTCACAGTAATGTAAAAACAGATCTGGATCTGGAGTCTTCAATATTAGTATAACTAATAAACCATAAGAATTATTTATATTATTTAATACATTTCCTATTAATTGTATTTTATTAACGTCTACCCCTACCCAAACCCTACACCTAACCATCACAGAAATGTAAAAACAGATCTGGATCTGGAGTCTTCTATATCTATCAGCTAATAACCACTGATAGCGCCTATTCAGTCGAGTAATAATAATCGCAGCAGGTAAAATAACCTTGTTCTCAAGTGGCCCTGTTATGATTTTTTACATTTCTGTTCTGTATAATACAGTAGCTTTTGAATATAAAATATCTGCAAAAGTTTAAACGGTGTTTTTGTTTTATCTATTTATTTGTTTATTTATTTATTTACATACTTATTAGACATGGATTGCTGTATATATATATATAGAAATATATATTCTAGAAATATTTTTGTACTGTAACAGAGGACAGCTAGTGAAGTGCTGTGCAGGAATACTTTACTCCTCTCTAAAGGTAGTCTAGCGACAGATGATAGTGGCCATGGTCTTTAGCCTCCTTGTTAGACCAACCAACTCACATGCGAAGAATCGCCGGTTCGACTCCAGCAGGTTGGGTACAGTAGGGCCGGTGGGTTACTATAATATTTCATACAATTTTCTAATTAAAATATAATTTTTTCGAGTGTGACAGTATCTGTCTCTATTTTAAAAAAAAAAATGTAATTGGTCAGAACAACAAATGTTTCAATTTTTTGTCAAAAAAATTCAAGGGTAATCCACTAAATACGATGTTTTAAAACTCTAGTATTACTGTATGTCTAAAAATCTATTAAAATGTGTCTGAAAACATCTTATTATGCTAATAATGCTCTCCACATTTTTATTTCACATTTGGAGGTAATGCCATCAGCAGTTTACATACTAAAACGAAAATTACATTTGACTGAAACTCATAATTATAAAATGTAGTTTTACTATGAATATGTATATTTATATGTTCTAAGACAGGAGTGCCCAAACTTTTTTCATGAATGACCAAAAACCAAACTAGACTGAGGCTAGTGGGTATGTTTTAATAATGTATTTACAACAGTAATAACTACACTAATTTAGAACAGATTAGATTTACGCTAGTCAAGCTGCACCTGATTTTGCCTTGATCTGCTAGCAAATGTCTTCTGCGTTGTCCTCTATCTGTCGAGTGAAGCTTTTTACATTTTCACAACGTATTTATATACGTATTTACATAATTAATATTTAAATAAAGCAATAAAACAAACAAATAAAAAAGATTCTTCTCTCTGTTCTAAGAAAACTTAGAAGGGACTCTTTTAATTCACTGTAAAAATGCATCAATTTGTGTTGGGACAGCATGAAAGAATTAAGTGAACTTTTTAGTTTTTACAAATTTAAGTAGATTAAACATCAAACATTTAAGTTGTCCCCCAAAACAACTCAAGAATTGTGCTGTTCGAGCTCATTTTAAGTAAGCGTTTGAACAGTGTTGTTTCCGCTGCTCTGTTATTATAAATATAGTGTTTTTATTTATTTTTGGACTTTGAAAGCATGTTTAAGCAGCTTTAGTGTGACTTTATGTTCTTTTCTAGGCCTTTCCAGAACATTACAGAGTTTGATGGTCAGGACAGTTGCGGATCGGACAGCTGGAACATGGTTGACGTGGACTTACCGGATGAGAAAATCCTGAACCCAGGAGTTGTGCTGTCCGCGCTGAAGCCCTGGACTCAGTATGCCATCTTTGTTAAAGCTGTAACGTTAATTGTGGAGGACAGGGACAGAGACAAGGACAGACTGCATCTTGGGCCACAGAGTGAAGTGGTGTACATTCGCACTAAACCATCAGGTAAAAAAAAACAGAAGTCAGGTAAAAAAATTTTTTTAATAAAAACAAGGTCAAACTAATCATGAATGTATTCGAAATGATTGATTCTTTAAAAAACCATCAGTATACTTGTCTTGTTTTTCATATAAATATCAAAACATTCTTTAAAATGAAGATATACAGTATTTCCTGAAAAGCAAGGCTTCTATTAGTTTTTAGTTATATTTATTAAAGAATTAATAGATTATCAGTGAGATTTTTTTCTTTTTAATAAAGTTGATTTAAATTTCTGATTGGATCATTCAAAGCATTTCTGATGGATAATGTGACACTAAAGACTGAAACAATAATTCTGAAAATGTAGCTTTGAATCACAGTAATAAATTACATTTCAATTAATGTTGCAAGTTAAATGTTATTTTAAATTTTACAAATATTTCCAGTGTTAGTTGAGCAAAGACATGCAGCTTTGGTAAGCAGAAACATACGTACTACATAAACCATAGTAAATGTCCCAACCCCAAACTCAGATCACTAGTATTGTTTGGTTTTGCTTTCAAGGAAATGTATATTGGTTTAAGAATGTTTCAATATTTTTTTATGCTAATTAATCCTATTATGCAAGTCAATGGGGTTACAAGCACTTTGAGAGTAAAACCAAATGTAAACATAAAGCAAATATAGAATAAAAAAACGATGTGTTGATGAAAGTAAATGTTATTTGAAACATTATTGACTTGTTTTACTTTTTGACACTCAAACTGCTCTGAATCACATTATTTGAACTTGTATGAATCCACACTAAGAACTACAGTTTAAGTAAAACATTTGTACACACAAACTGGACTGACTATTAATGAGTAAAATAAAAGCAGATATTCATTTTCAAGCAAACTTGAAGTGACAGTTCACCCAAAAATGAAGATTCTGTCATTATTTACTCTCCCTTCACTTGTGTTCCCTTCTTCTGTTGAACACAAAAAGAAGATTAACTGATGTACTGTAAGCCAGAAACCTGTAACCATTGACCTCTGTTGTTTTTCCTACTAAGAATGTTGATGGTTCCAGGTTTTCAGCTTTCTTCAAAATATCTTTTTTAGTTTTCAACAGAGGAAAGATGTATAAACAGGTAGGGGGAGTCAATATGGGAGAAATTTTCAAATTTGGTTGAACTATCTCTTTAAGAATCTCCTTAAAAACAGTTTTTTTCAACTTATTCCATGTACACTACCTGACAAAAGTTTCGTCATCGATCCATCAATCCAATACTTCAGCCTCCACATTAAAGTTCCAGAAACCAAGGAAGGTCAAGGTGCTCTAGGATTGGTCAGCCCAGTCACCAGATATGAACAATATTGAGCATGTCTGGGGTAAGATGAAGGAGCAGGCATTGAAGATGAATCCAAAATATCTTGATGAACTCTGGGAATCCTGCAAGAACGCTTTCTTTGCCATTCCAGATGACTTTATTAAAAAGTGATTTAAGTCATTGCAGAGATGTATTGATGCAGTCCTCCAAGCTCATGGGAGTCATACACAATATTCATTATTTTTCCACTGCACCATGAATTTATCTTCTATACTCTACATTATTTCTGTGAAGTGACTATACTTATTTTTTTCTGAGCAAAGTTAGACCTTATTATCCTAATTAAATGATTAATGATCAAGGCATGATCATATTTTATTTTGGGAAAACAAACGTAAGTCTCAAACTCCAGAATGGAGGAGTCATAACATTATGTTGTTATGACACTGTAAATATTTGTGTGTCTAATTGGAGATGTTTTTTTTTTTTTATTTCTCCAGCGCCCTCAATGCCTGTAGACATCCGTGCATACTCTAATTCTTCATCAAAGCTGGTGGTGCGCTGGGCTCCACCTCTGGCCCCCAATGGAAACAACACCTACTACTTGCTCCGCTGGAAGCAGCAGGGCGAGGACCGTGAACTCTACCAGCACAACTACTGCTCCAAAGGTACAAACTGTTTCAGGTGTAATTTTGTCTCATTCTTCCTGCAAACAAGTCTTAAGGGAGTCAACAGTATGGGGTCTTGATTGTCACATTTTGTGCTTCAAAATGCACCACACATTCTCTATTGGAGACAGGTCAGGACTGCAGGCAGGCCACTCAAGTACCTGTATCGTCTTCCTCCGCAGCCAGCACTTTGTAATGTGTACAGCATGTGGTTTTGCATTGTCTTGTTGAAATATGCAGGGCGTCCCTGGAAAAGAAGGCAGCATTTTGTGCTCCAAAATCTCTATGCACTTTTCAGCATTAATGCTGCCATAACAAAAAAATACTTAAATCAATACCTCATTCATACCAAGGGCATTTAAAGAAAGGTCCTGTAAAAAACAGACATAAATGACACTGGATTTTTCTCTACCCAACCCTACCTTGAGCTGGGGATCATATTTCCGACAGCAATTAAGACTTTTTAGCATGAAACATCTGAAGCTTTCAGTGTCAGTGCATCTAGGGAAATTAGATCAAACACTGTTTGAAAACTCTTTTAGTTCTCGACTTCAAAATACACCAGGCTTTGCAATAATGAAATGATGTGCAACATGTTTAACATTGTCTGTATGTTATTAGTGCCGCTCTGTATTACTCATACTTGATTTTCTGTGGCACTGGTAAATAATTCCAGATTGTCGCAAGATCACAACAGGAAGAAAATATAACAATGTTTGTGTAAATCTCTGACAGAACTGAAGATCCCTGTAAGGGTTTCAGCCACGGGTTTGACAGACACTGAAGACACGAAGCCGACCAATCATGAAACAGGAGGACGAGACAAAACCCCCTGCTGTCCCTGCCCTAAAACAGAGGAGGATCTGAAGCGAATCGAGGATGACATCTACTACCGCAAAGCCTTCGAGAACTTCCTCCACAATGCCATTTTCACTCCCAGGTAAACCCTAGTTTGATCAGGAATGTGATTATTACTATTACTATATCTAAAAACCCAACTGATAGTGTTTTCAAAAGCACACCTTGTCATCACAGCAACAGAATTTCACCATGTTTAAGATTTTTATATATTTTTGGCTTTTGTTTCACCTGGTTTTTGGAGTCGTTTGTCGACAGAATTGAACTCTGTCTTCATGGTCAACTCCGCTCCATGTCCCAAGTTGGCCGACGTACATGGCGAGCCACTGGGGAATCTGGTAACACCGAAAAATTCGTAAATACTGAAGTAAGCTGGTAGAGCTACAATAAGCAGAGGCTGGCGGTGGCGTCACACTTCCCTGTAGCGTTCGTTTTAAAAATGAAATGCAGCCAGACGTACCTCTGGCTACATAATTTGTGCTCTCCAGAAATGTAGACAGGGTACCTTTCCACTATGAGCCTGTGTTGAAAATATATTACTCATATTTACTGAGAAATGGATAAAAATATTCAGTTTCAAAATGGGATGTACTCAGTTATGTTGAGCACTGTATATGATCCTATAAATTGTTATTGTCAAAAAGAATCTCAGTAAAGAATCCTTTTTTTGTGTTTCGCTAAATAGTTTTGAAGTGACATAAACATGAACTATTTCTGGCAAGAGCATTAAAATCGATATCGGAGCATGTGAGCTCATCCTCGTCCAAGTTTTAATTCAGCAGCCAGTACAAAACCCCTATTAAACTTCAAATGAATTTATTTAGTAGTCATAAATCTGCGTTAACTAGGGTTGGGCATCTAAGCTATAATGCCGATCCGATACGCATCTCGATACAAAGAATACGATCCGATATATTAGCGATACATTTATGACATATTGCGATGCGACACGATACGATTCACACCCATATCACGATACAATGCGATAATTCAGCACTAATTAAATCAAGTTTATGAGATGATGTGAAAGAGGATGCTGTGCCATTGAATGAGTTTGATTATTTATTAACCAAGCAAAACCAAGACTTTTTTTTAACAAACTGGCTTTTCTCTCAGAGCCAGAGTGTCAGTTTACAGTAGAGGGCCATTTTAGAACATATAGCACATATTATTTAAGTATTTTCAAGATAAACAGAATGTATAAGTGCAATATATATTAAAATATATATATTTGCACTCTTTCAACATAAAGGTTTATCATTGCACAACAAGAATTGTGATTTAACTTTTCAACTATGAAAACAAGTTTTACAAAGATATATTTTGCCACTGATTATTCAAAACTTAAGGTCGTGAACTAGCAGTGTTATGCTGCTTTGAAACATCACTGTCACTGTAAACAACAGGCTAATAAAAATATAACAAACCAGCAATCTTCTTGCTGTGAGGTGGTCAAACTACCCACTGTGCCACCGTGACACCCATTATTTTTATCATCATTATTATTAATATTATTATTATTATAATTAAATAAAAATTAACAGGAGGAGGTGTTTAAAACCGCCTAGTGCGGCAGTATAGAGAGGGCGGCGTCCGCAACACCCAGTTATATCCGCGCATAGGGTGGCAGAATAGAGGTCCGCGACACCCGCGCGTCCTCAGTTATATCCGCGCATAGGGCGGAAGAATAGAGGTCCGCGACACCCGCGCGTCCTCAGTTATATCCGCGCATAGGGCGGAAGAATAGAGGTCCGCGACACCCGCGCGTCCTCAGTTATATCCGCGCATAGGGCGGCACAATAGAGGTCCGCGACACCCGCGCGTCCTCAGTTATATCCGCGCATAAGGCGGCAGAATAGAGGTCCGCGACACGTCACTTCATTTTCATAACCGGTCACTTTCGTTTTCACATTGGGGTTGAGGGCGGCGTGATCGTCCTCTGCATGGAGCAGCAGTTCAGCTTGCTCCGGCCCTGCAGATGAACAATGCAATAACATCCGTTATTGGCATAGAGCGCACAAAACTTTTGCGCATGGAAAAAAAACTTGCAATGCTTTTCTCACCACTTTTGGAGCTGGTAGCTACAGTTCAAGCAGTGCGAAAGCCGGGGATGTAGGTACACTGGAAGATGCTTTCACAACAACACCGTGGCGCCGCTTCAAGTGAGATTTCAGATTACTCGTACTGCCCGCATATTTTATAGATGCGCGGCACATTTTGCAAATTGCATCTGTCCTGTCATGTCGTCCATCCTTAAATCCATAATGTTGCCATACTTTAGATTTAAAACTCAGTGGGAAATAAAATGTTTGTTTTGCTTCTCGCGCTTTCTGAGGGCGCACCACTAGCTTCATCCGCACACCTGATACACTGAGTTGTAGTGTAAGTGTACACATCCGCAAATCCGTTAGGCTTACTTTATGTAGGTCGATTAAATTATGCGCCAAAAACAGGTTGACAACACTTGTTAATAAATAAAAAATACATTCTATATTAAAAATATAAGCTGTATCTCGGAAAAACCGATGCATCTCGCAAAAACCGATGCATCTCGATTTGCTTCCAAAATTTCATTCATCCTCTGCTGCTCAACCGATGCACTCGCATCGTGCACGCGCATGACCGCGTATCGATACATATCGATTAATCTTCCCATCCCTAGCGTTAACCTTTCATGAACTCCCAGATGAGGATTGAAGTGGACTGTTGATGTCCCTGGATGTTAGCATTGGTAATGGCCACTTTGTTTCTAACTCGAGAGCTTGTTTTTGTAAGATTCTCAGCGTTCCCCTCAGTAATTGTTTCCCTCCGCCTCTGGTCTTGGTAATGGTGTGGTACGCTCTTGGGTCTGGATCCACATAACACAGGAGATTATAAAGAGTAAATGACTACTTAATCCGCGTTTTGTCTCTGATCTCAAAGGTGTAACACATTAAGCGTTCTGTGCTAAAATGAGGAGCGACATCTGTATCCTATTATCAGCCATCATTGGGCAGGGCAGCATATTTGTGTCCCATTGAGTGTGCTGTAATTGCTGGATAACCAGGGTTTTTCACTGGCTATTATTTATTATTTTCATTTTCACTGGATATAGTTTACTTTTTATATATATATATATATATATATATATATATATATATATATATATATATATATATATATATATATATATATATATATATATATATGCAAGAATGAATTCTCCCAACAACTTTATCACCATTTTATAAAGATTTCCAAAGGATGGTATAATACTTTCCGATTTTGACTCGCCGACAGTTTTTGAGAAATTACTGACAAATGCCTAAAATCACAGGCAAATCGGTGCTCGTTCATGCGACAGTCACACAATGTGTGAACTATTAAAGACGTAATCTTAGAGTATCACAGATGAGTCGCTGAAACCCATCAGATATTTGGCATTCAAATTCATGCCATGTGAAATGTGTTCTGATTAAAAATAACTTTGGCGATCACCTACAGCTAATAAAAGATTAACATTAAGATCAGCGGGAAGTTGAGGGGGAGGAGTTACTAAGGTATAAATCACATTATCAACAAGCATGGCTTTGGTTGGAGGAAAAACTAGTGTAAATTTGGCAGCAGCACTGTGTCTGTTTGACGTGTCATCTGAGCAATACCACAACTGGATCGAAAGAGAATGTTGATAAGAAATTGTTAATGAAGTACATTTTCTACCCCACTAAAGGCTTCTTTCTCATTATGTAGTTAACCGTGCATTGTTTTCATGTCAATTCTTGTGCGAGTTTGGTTGTGAGATGTAGTTTGTGGACCAAGACAAAGTTGTTGGCAATTTTTACTATTGTAAAGTCATGCAGTGTGAAACCCCTTGTCGCCGATCCATATTGCTGTGTAAACAAAGCAGCGACCAAATGCTACCCCAGATAGTCTTGCAGTGCAAAAACATCTGTGACACGACTACTTTGAAAATCATGATGTTTGAACTCGGCATTAGGTAACCAAACTCTTATTTTAATGGATTCACTGAGAAATGGATAAAAAAAAAATGTATTAAGAGTGTGTACTCATTTATGCTGAGCACTTGTGTCTGCATGATTCGAGACTGGATTATCTTGCTCTGTCTGGTCTGATTTTTTTTTTAAAATATATATTTTTTAATTTTCTGCGTGTTTGTCATTGCTTGGCTGTAGAAGAAAGCAGCAATGCCAGAACTATGTCAGGCTGCCGAGAAGCATGTCTGTACCCGGGCCAGCACAACCTGTTTTTATTGAAAAGCGAGATATTGAGGGAAGCGCCTCGAGTTCCCTCGAAGTTCAGCATTTGGGGGAAGGAGAAGGAGAGGAAATCATATCTGTCGAGTTGCCGTTCCCCACTCAAAGTGCTTCGGCTGCCAGGAAATGCACTGTAATGCCATCTGGAATACCAATGAAATAAAGGGAAGTTCCCCTGGAGCCGGAGAGCACACAGATCAATGAGCGCCGCTCTGCAGAAAGGAGATCCAGAGAAGCTGTTTCTGAGAGATGTGGGAACTGAAGGCAGTGAGAATGAGATGGAAAGTGACTGGATTAGAGAGTGGCAAATGTTCAGAATGCCTCTGTTTTGCAGTGGCAGGGATGCTGAAAACCTGTTTGAAAGATAAAAGTGAAAGTCGTGACGTGGCAAAGTATGATGACATGTGTTTAACCCATCCAACTGCACACACACACACAGCAGTGAACGCACACTTATCGTGAACTAGAGCTGCACAATATATAGTTTTAGCATCAATATCACAATGAATGTGATAGGATCTGTAATGTTGAATTGAGACTACTTGACAAAAGTCTTGTCGTCGATCCCAGTTGTTAGAACAATAATAATAACTCGACTACTAGTTGATTATTTGGAAAAGAGGCAGAAGGTAGATGTTTCCTGATGAATCATCTGTTGAACTGCATCCCAGTCATCACAAATACTGCACAAAACCTACTGGAACCTTCATGGAACCAAGGGTTTTATAGAAATCAGTCAAGTTTGGTGAAGGAAAAATCATGGTTTGGGGTTGCATTCAGTTTGGGGGAGTGCGAGAGATCTGCAGAGTGGATGGCAACATCAACAGCCTGTGGTATCAAGGCATTTGTGCTGCCCATTACATTACAAACCACAGGAAAGGGCAAATTCTTCAGCGGGATAGCGCTCCTTCTTGTACTTCTGCCATCACATCAAAGTTCCTGAAAGCACAGAAGGTTAATGTGCTCAAGGAATTGGCCAGCCCAGTCACCAGATGTAAACATTATTGAGCATGTCTGGGGTAAGTTGGAGGAGTCATTGAAGATGAAGCCAAAGAATCTTGATGAACTCTGGAAGAAAAAATATATAAAATAAATATTACGGGAAATACTGTGAAAAATTCCTTGCCCCATTACACTTCAACTTTTAAAATAGAACATTAACACTAATATTTTTGACTTTAACTCTAAGTTGTGATTCCTCAAAACTTTCTGATCCCTTGCATTTGAACTGTGAGTCCAGTATGGAAGACGTTCATCTTCCAGTCTGAACAGTGTCACATGCGTCTGTCACGCGGAGGGATGTATATCTTCATATCGCGTCTCCCAGTCAAACTCAAGCCATCTGTGCTGGTCGGATGTGTGTTTCCAGCAGGCAAAGGAAGGACTTGCAGCTTGTAGGGAGTTGAGTGACAAACTGCTGCAGTGTGTGAGTGTTAGCAGGCAGAAGAATGGAGACCAGCTGTGCTCCGTGTATGTGTGTGCGGATTCAGAGCAGTTGCCAGATCATCTGAGGACAGGATGCATGATTGCTTTGGCATGGACGAGAGTAAGTGGCTCTCATGGGGGAACAGCCATGTGGTTGTTGCCCCACACGTTCACAAATGGGGTTAAAAATCTTTTCCCTGATATTGCGAAAAGAGGCAGTGTTCAGGGTTGTCGGAACTGCTGTAGATTTATCTTAAAAATTATTATTTTAAAAAATGTATTTTTTATTGGTTTTAATGAACATGCATACAAAAACAAAAAAGGACAAAAACAAGGACACCAGTAAACACAAGTATTGTAATAAAAGCCATTCATTCATTCATTTTCTTTTCGGCTTAGTCACTTTATTAATCTGGGGTCGCCACAGCGGAATGAACCGCCAACTTATTTAGCATATGTTTTACGCAGCAGATTCCCTTCCAGCTGCAAACCATCACTGGAAAACTTTATACATGCTCAATTACATACGTACACTACGGACCATTAAACCCACCGGAGCACCCTAAAGAAACCCACATGAACACGGGGAGAACATGCTAACTCGACACACAGAAATGCCAACTGACACCAATCGAGGCTCGAACCTGTAACCTTCTTGCTGTGCGGTGATCATGCTACCCACTGTGCCACCGTGACACCCCATTAGTGATAAAAAAAATAATAATAAAACACTGATAATACAAAAAAATCGGAGTAAACAAAATTAAATGTTTTTAAAGAAAAATTGGGGATAACATTGCTGGAGTATTGGCTGACCAGAAAAGGCATTTGTAATACAAGCGATCCTAAAAAAAAAAAAAATTATATATATATATATATATATATATATATATATTTATTTATTTATTTATTTATTTAGAAAGTTAACTTACAGGGTAACTTCATAATTTTCCCTTTTCTGCATAAAATAACTTTAATTAGACATCTGTATTAAATACACACTGATATTTTACCTATAAACACACACACACACACACACACACACACACACACACACACACACAGTCCCGGTCAAAAGTTTGGGGTCAGTAGGATTTTTCAACGTTTTAAAATAAGCTTCTCCTGTTCACCAAAGCTGCATTTATTTCATAAAAACTACAGTACAAAATGTACGATTGTGAAATGTTATTGCAATATAAGCAGCTGTTCAAAAGCAGATTATAATTTAATTTAGCATTTATTTATTATTATTATTTATTTTTTTTCCAGTGATTTTAAAGATGAATTTTCAGCTTTATTACTCCAGCTACTATTGCTCCAGTCTTCAGAGTCACATTATCCTTCAGAAATGACTCTAATAATAATAATAATTATTATTATTATTATTGTTATTATTAATGATAATATTAATAAAAGCCTGGAGTAACAATTTCATTTGAAACTACATACAATAAGAAAGCACCTAAAATTTTAATAAATATTTAACAATGTTACCTTTTTTTTTACATTTAATAAATACTGCCTTGATTAACAGAAGAAATTTCTTTTAAGAAAACATGAAAAAATAAAAACTGACCCCAAACTTTTGACTGGTAGTATATATATATATATATATATATATATTTTTTTATTTTTTATTTTGTATAGTAATGCTTACATTTCTTCTTAATTTAAAAGAAGAATATATTAATTTATAAAGATTTTTTTCCATTAAATAACAAAAAGCTGTTGTGTGTTCAGACATACTTGTATTTATTTTTAGGCAATATAGTACCGATGTTTTACTTTCACATGACTTAAAAAAGGCAATATTTAGTAGAATAGCCCTGATAAAAAATAAAAAAATCGGTAATGATATTTGGAGGAAATAAATAAATATTAACATTTTATTCAAAAACAGTGCACTTACAAATGAAGTTATGCGCAATAAAATGAAATGATGTGGGGAAAAGGTATTGAACACATGAAAAAGGGAGGCGTAGAAAGGCAGTAAAAGCCCAGACAGCAGCTGAAATCTCTCAGTAGTTCTATAGCAACCCTCTGCCCTTCCTCACTGTGCATTAATATTAGCTGCTTCAGTCCAACATCTACATTAGCAGGATGATGAAGATGAAAACAGGGTCGACACTTCAGCAAGAAAATAATCCAAAACACAGTCAAGGAAACTTTCAAATGCTTTCAGAGAAAGAAAATCAAGTTGTAGAATGGCTCAGCCAATCACCTTACTTGAATCTATTATAGAATACAAATTACAGATCAGTAAAAATCACATAAGTATGGACAGCCTTTGCCGTGGGGCTCTACACTGAGCTTAGATACATTTTGTTAACTCTGATCATTCTTAAGATGTTTCAGCAGCTTTATTGGAGTTCACCTTTGGTAAATTATGTTGATTGGACATGATTTGGCATAAACCTGTCTATATAAGGTCCCAGGGTTGATCGCACAAACCAAGCATGACGACAAAGAAATTGTCTGTAGACCTTTGAGAGAGGATTGTCTCGAGGCACAAGGCTGGGAAAGGTTACAGAAAATTCTGCTGCTCTGAAAGTTCCAATAAGCACAGTGACCTCCATCATTTGTAAGTGGAAGATGTTTGGAACCACCAGGACTCTTCCTAGAGTGCGCCGGCCATCTAAGCTGAGTGATCGGGGTAAAAGGGCCTTAGTCAGGGAGGTGATCAATAAGCCGATGGTCACTCTGACTGAGCTCCGGGGTTCTTCTGTGAAGAGCGGAGAACCTTGCAGAAGGACAACCATCTGTGCAGCAATCCACCAATCAGGCCTGTATGGTAGAGTGGCCAGACTGAAGCCCCTCCCCACTTAGAATTTGCCAAAAGGCATCTGAAGGACTCTCAGACCTGTAGAATCAAAATTCTCTGGTCAGGTGAGACTAAAACTGAACTCTTTGAAGTGATTGCCATTCATTACGTTTGGAGAAAAGCAGGCACCGCAAATCACCAGGCTAATACCATCCCTACAATGAAGCATGGTGGAGGCAGCATCATGCTGTGGGGATGTTTTTCAGTAGCAGGAACTGGAAGACTAGTCAAGATAGAGGGAAAGATGAATGCAGCAATGTACAGAGACATCCCGAATAAAAACCTGCTTCAGAGTGCTCTTAACCTCAGACTGTGGCGACGGTTCATCTTCCAGCAGGACAATAACCCAAAGCACACAACCAAAATATCAATGGAGTGGCTTCACAACAACTCTGTGAATGTCCTTGAGTGGCCCAGCCAGAGCCCTGACCTAAATCCTATTGAACATCACTGGAGAGATCTGAAAATGGCTGTACACTGTTACTTCCCATCTAACCTGATAGAGCCTGAGCGGTACTGCAAAGAGGAATGGGCAAAATTCCCAAAGACAGGTGTGCCAAGCTTGTGGCATCATATTCTTAAAAGACGTTAGGCTGTAATTGCTGCTAAAGGTGCATCAACAAAGTGTTGATTAAGACTGTGAATACTAATGTTTTTGCAACAATAAATGTGCAGCAATTTAAAAAAAAAAATCTTTTTTCACATTGTCATTATAGAGCATTGTGTGTAGAATTTTGTGGAAATAAGTTCTGATTTCTGATTTCAACTGTACATTTCAGTAGTTTCTCCTTGCGTCATTTGATTGTTATTACACATGACTCATTTTTCTGATTTTTCGTTTTGTTTTTGTTTTTATGTTTGTAATGTATTATTTTTATTTACCAAAATCTGGTTCAATTCCATGTCAACAGCTCCTTTTGAAATATTGTTCTCAGGGAAAAAATATGCCATGCTTAATACTTATTTTTTGTCACTGTAATTTTATGCTCAAAAATAAATTTCTGTTAACTAAAATCAGTTGTACTCCTATTCTGATTCATTCATTCAACTTTTTAATAAATGAGAATTCTTGTTGCCAGATTGAGCTTTTGTCATGCCTGAAGTTGTGCAATATTTCCCTAATAGATCTTAATCTCTCTGGTTTCAGACCTCCAGACAGGCGACGGAGGGATTTGTTTGGTGTGGCCAACGTAACCTCTATTCACACTCTGCTAGCGGGACACTGGAACCTGACCGAGGGAAACTTCTCAGATGACGAGCCGCCTAGACGAGAATTTTCCTTTCTGGAGAGGAAGGTGAAAGAGCGACACATTGAAATCACTGGCCTGCAGCCTTTTACCGTTTACCGCATTGACCTACACGCGTGCAATGAAGAGGTTCGACACTGCAGTGCCGCTGCATTCGTCTTCTCTCGCACCAAAGCAGCAGGTAAGAGCGGGACATCAAAACTTAAATAAGACTATAAAGAGGATAATTTTTAATTACAACAAATGAAAACATTTGGCATTCTATTAAAAATAAATGGTCATGAAATTTGAAAACAATAGAATTAATACTAACATTTCACTCAAATCAACAGCTAAAATTTTCCACGGGAAATTTTGAAGTTGTTTCATTGCACTGGGATTTACTTTACAATTAACACTATTTAAATAGTATAATCACTACGCTATTATTTTGTTATATACTTTGTTGAAAAACTAAAATTGAAAATCTGAGGCTTAATTTCAAATTAAAAGCCAAAAAGGCTTTATAACAATTATTATTTTAATAGATAGGATAGGATTATTTATTTGTCCCTAGGGAAATTTGTCTTGGACGCAAGGGCTGCCACACACAAAATACACAGTAAATACATAACCAAATACAAAAAAACAGCAACACCATCATTTTGCCTCAAAATTATATCTAAAGTTCAGGAGGTCCAGCTGCTCAGGATATAGCCTGGTCCAGGATTATGGAAACCTCAGGAATATTAAAAAAAGACTTACATAAGCGCCGTTCAAATTATCATGTCTTTAGGATAGTGTTACCGGCTACGGTTGCCCTAAATAGTGCAGACTTACAATCCTTTAGAGGATTTAGATTTCAACAGCATTTGTGTTTTATTTGTATGCTAATGCAAAGAGATGTGTCTTTAATCTCGTTTCAACTGACAGAGTTTGTCTGCCTCCCAAACTGTGCTAGGAAGGCTGTTCCAGAGTTAAGGTGCCAGATAGGGCTGGGCGATTTAGCCCAAAAAAAAAAAATCTAGGTTTTTTATAAAGTTTGACCGATTCACAATTTCGATTTTTTTTAATTGTGTTACTAGTCTTCAAAAAGACATTACAACAACATGACTGAAGTAACATTCTCTTTAAAAGTAACTGGAAAACCCATCTAGTTAAGAAACATTGTTTTTTAATGGCCATGTCATACAAAAATCAGTCAAGGTGTAAATAAATGTAAAACAAATTCACAAATTAAATAGCGTTGCTGAAGATTTGAATAAGAAATATTTGTGTAAATATTGCACTTGCAGGAATACAGAGGGATTTTTGCTAGTTTTGCTGAGCCTAGGAAAGATTGGCTGTCAGCTCGGCTTTGACTTTGTCTTCTTCTGATTGAATGACAGGTTGTAATGCTGCTGCCTTTTTCTTAAAAAGATACAGTGAAAGAAAAAGGACTGAACATGGAAACTGTAAAGCCTAATTTAACCCAATGTGTGAAGTTGTGGACGTATAGCAGGAGCAAATACAAGCACCAGATGTGTGTCTAATATGAAATGATATATTTAATCTATTTTTCTTTTTTCCCCCTTTTAAATACTGATCATTTGATGCGCTTTGCTCCACTCTCTGCATTATGCTGCCTGATCTGTCTGGTTTTCAACTAGGTCCGCTAAATGACATCATGGGGGCGGGTACTTTCATTTTCACTGCTACAGTCCCTCACCTCTACTCGTGTTTAAACCAAAAGATCGGCGCGGTTTTTCACATGGCAGGCTTTTACGTCCTTCATACATGTTGAGATCGAGTTTATCGACTTGATGAGGGAATGTCTTGACAATCCACACAGACGTGCAACAAGTAAAATCCTACATGACTTGACGATTTAACAGGCAGTCAAGCAGGTCGCACACCAGAAGCGCCGCAACACGGCGCGGACATGAAAGTTTAAACTATCACACACCAAACGCGCACATTCACATGATATTTAACATGAAACTAATCAGATGGCGCTCTGTGGGCCGGCTGAAATATGAACTGCTTCGTGAATCGTGGCTGGGCGGCGCCGGTGTGTGTATAGAAACCTGTTTTGAATTCTAAAATCCATGGCGCGTCGCCGAGAGGCGCTTTTGGTGTGCTTCCTGCTTCATACAGAGAGTGAACCCGAGCGCATTGGTGCCATTATAATGTATTAAATATATATATTTTATATATATATATATTTCATTCAAAATTAAATCGTCTTAAAACGTAAATTTGAATTAATCAAAAAAATTGGAAAAACCGCCCAGCCCTAGTGCCAGATATAAGAAAGATCTACCGCCTATAGTGGATTTAGATATTCTGGGAATAATCAATTGTCCAGAATCAATTGAGCGTAGTGGACGTGATAGGCTATAATACACTAGGAGCTCCCTCAAATACTGGGGAGCTAAGCCATTTAGGGCTTTGTACGTAGTCAATAAAATTTTATACGATATTTAATAGGGAGCCAATGCAATTATGAAAGAACTGGAGTAATATGATCATATTTCTTTGTTCTAGAAAGAACTCTAGCAGCTGCATTTTGAACCAGCTAAAGTTTGTTAATTAGGTCAGCAGGGCAACCGCCTAGTAACGCATTACAATCGAGAGGTCATGAAAGCATGAATAAGCTTTTCCGCATTAGACATTGAATAGCATATGTTAAAGTTTGGCAACACTTAAAAATCAATCGTGCTTTTAACTCAAATAACACCCATTACTTCTGTCATGACCATGGATTTAGTATGGTAATGAATATGTATATGGAAATGTTGATGTATTTGGTCTTGGCAGTATATATCTGCTACGCTGCTGCTGCTTTTATTATTATGGCAGAGCAAATACCGATACCTGCTACTGCCAGTATATGCACAGACATGCCATCTGAGAATATAACACGCTGCTGCAAACATAATATATAGGTAACCCCTGTAGCAGATCTAAACACAGGTGGAGCTGGGGTGGAGGAAGGTCTCTAAAATAGCACCGCAGCTTAACAGCATAAAATGACAGGGATCATTTAAAGTGATGAGGAGCAAGCTCATTGGCTGCCGAGGTGACAGAAACCAATTTTAGGAGTAGATTAGGTGACCTATAAGCCTGTGTGTGCGTAGTTTCATGGCAGAAATTTCAGTTATACCATATAGAGTTGTTTTGTGCACAGGTCAACATCAAACTTCCCAACAAATGAAGTCATTTTATTGCTAATAACATTTTATTGATTAACTGAGTTGAGCGGCATCATTTAACTATTGCTGTTATGTCAGCACATTAGTGCTATTGTAAGCAGGAGGATCAAGTATACTGCATACAAATGCATTATTTAAGTGGCACAGTTCGTGTTCATGCATAGATAAGTATGTGTACATGAGTGGAATATCCACAGAGCAGAAAATCCAGGTATTTTTAACTTTGACCAATGTTTTGTGCTCAAAAGCTAGTTGATGGTGCGCTCCCACTTCTCTTGTGCTGTGGACGGTGCAGCAACAAACTAATCCTGCACAGCAAAATTAATTGAGATGAATGTGTTTCATAGCACAGCGATTTCCGCGTCCAGTGTAAAAGCCACTTCACTCAATGCAGTGACTACTAGGGTTGCACAATATATTGTTTCAGCATCAAAATCGCAATGTGCAGATCTGCAATGTCAAATTGGGATTATAATAAACCATAAAACACAGTTTAGAACACATGACTTATGGAGTCGTTTTTAACTATAATCTGATAGTCTGAAAGATTTCAAAGACCCCTGACTGTACAATTTCAAAACGGCAAAGACAACAAGTTTATACCATTTGGACACAGGAAATTATAAGGTTTAACAAAGATTAATTGTGTTCATTTATACAATGAAGACTATGCAGTGTTATTATTGAATTTGTGTAATACTGTTAAGACGCCAGCAAAAACCCTTTATTTCAATTTCAATTGTTTTCATCTCTGCTTCATATTTTTTATTAATTTTGTGTATTTTATGCAATTGCGCTCCCCTACAAAATCATCCCATCATGTTAAATCATGAATTGATAGTCATCTTGTGAAACTTTGCTTATATCACAATATATTACAAAAAAAAAAAACGAAATTTCGCAATGTCAGTTTTGTCCTATATCGTGCAGTCCTAGTAAATACATTTGGGCGCATCATAGTCTTTATTTCCGTTTTTCTCTTTTGGACAAATGCCAGAAATTTTTGCCATCTCTACATACAGTGAGTGAGTTCAAAATGACCACCACCTCCGCGTGTCACGCCGCCATGAGACAAAGGGATTACAAAAATGTGTTTAGATGTGACAGTAGTTTGCGACAATTATACCAGGGTGCACAAAGAGACGGAATGCAAATGGACAGAAATGTACAGTTGCCTTAAATACCCTGCTACTTGTATAAGAAGATAAAATAGTGAAACAAAGCAATAAAAATCCTTCATAAATCATTAAAGACATGTTAACAAGATTTATTATCATTTACAATTTGTTAAATATGATGAGGATTCATTTTGGAAATCAAAACAAAAGAAATAAAAGACAACTAAAATCAGTGTACCTTTTCTCTAATAAAATCTTTTCTGTTTCTTCGATTTCTTGTAGAAAAAGCTGATGACATCCCCGGCTCTGTGACCTGGGAGGGTCAGGAGGATTCAGTGTTCCTGAAGTGGCCTGAACCAGATAAACCCAACGGCCTAATCATGCTCTATGAGATCCAGTATCGACTTGGAACAGAGGTAACTGCTGTATATGTTAAGCACCAAAATACTTTTCAGGTTTTGGTGTTATTAACTCAAATAAGTCAAATGCTGTAACATTTAAATGCTTTATATGGATTCTGTCAAATATAAAATAGTTTTTTATACTTTATTATGTTTTATGTTTTGTTTTTTTCTTCCAGAAATTATGCATTTAATGACAGTTTTTTTATAAATATGATTTACATTTACATTTAGTCATTTAGCAGACGCTTTTATCCAAAGCGACTTACAAATGAGGACAAGGAAGCAATTTACACAACTCTAAGAACAACAATAAATAAGTACTGTAGGCAAGTTTCAGGTGTGTAAAGTCTAAGAAGCAAAGCATTAGTAATGTAATAACTTTTTTTTTTTTTTTTTGAGTAGAGTTACTGGTATATCCAGAGAGGCAATTGCAGATTAGGAAGAAAATTGGACACTAAATAGTTGAGTTTTTAGTCGTTTCTTAAAGACAGCAAGTGACTCTGCAGTTCTGATGCAGATTTCTGGGCAGATATGCATAGTTTTCAACACAATACCCATTTTACCAATATCCTCCCGACTACCAGGAAAATAAATATTTCCCCAGTTGCTTGAAAGGCAATGATCATTCTGGAAACATTTTTGGAGGAAAAAAAGATTTTATTTTAAACATATCATGAATCCACTACAGTGGACATCCGAATGCAGTACATAAGTAATGGATCCACTATAAGATACTAAAGTCAACTTTGAAATTTATGACTGAAACTACAACGTTATTGTTAGTGTAGTGTATGCATCTTGGAAATTTACCATTATTGGAACTATTTTAGGCCATATTTCTGATGATATTTTTAAAAGCAATTCCCCTTCTTTGAAACAAAGAAATAACTTGCATTTAGTACATCTAAATTCAAGAAAATTACTTTCCTAGAAGCTGTAAATGAGTCTTTTTCTGAAGACATGCATTGGTGATTGGCTTTAAAAAAAAAAAAAAAAAATTGAGAACAAAGTGGTGACAATAACCACAACAAACCTGTCAACATTGGGATTAGAGAATAAGGGACCCCCTAAAAAAAAAATTCCCCAAATGTGTAAATATATTCAGTTGGAGCTCTTTTATTGTAAATAAACAGTTGAAACGGTCAGTAATGTTATATTTTTAAAAGACAGAATTAATAGTATATTACATTGGAAAAAAATATATTAATTGCAAATAAATTAGCAAACAGTTTAGCCTTTTCAAATTAATATTAAGAAAAATTAAGAAATTGATATTATTATTATTATTATTATTATTATTATTATAGGATACTTTTTTGAATACCCTTTAATCATGGTAAAACATGTTACATTGTTAAATTAAAAAAAAAATGTTCTTCAGATATTAAAATTAAATATTTTTAATATAAATAAAAAACAAATCAACATTTAAAGACAATTATATTTATGAAAATTATTAGTCACTTGTTTTTGAGTTGAAGCCAAAATGATTCGAAAAAATTAAGTTAGTTTTCAAATATTTCCCAAGTGCTGTTTAACAGTTTGGGGTTTTTATTCGGGCCAATCTAAAAGAAAGATAATAGAAAATACTGTGAAAAAAATTGTTGCTCAGTTTACTTCAGAAATGTTTAAAAATAATAATTTTAATTTCACAGAATGGCTAATAGTTTTTGCCTTATTCAACTGTATTCAATAATAATTCATAGAACATTTGTCAATTGCTGATGTTTTTTCTTTAAATAAATCCAAACTGCAAGGACATTCAGCGAGTTGTTGTGAAGCCACTCCATTGATATTTTGGCGGTGTGATTTAGTTCACTGTCCTGCTGGAAAATGAACCGTTGCCATAGTCAAGAGCACTCTGAAGCAGGTTTTCATTCAGGATGTCTCTGTACATTGCTGCATTCATCTTTCCCTCTATCCTGACTAGTCTTCCAGTTCCTGCTGCTAAAAAACATCCCCACAGCATGATGCTGCCTCAACCATGCTTCATTTTTAGGGATGGTATTAGCCTGGTGATGAGCGGTGCCTGGTGTTCTCCAAACGTAACGCCTGGCATTCACTCTAAAGAGTTCAATTTAAGTCTCATCAGACCAGAGAAATTTGTTTCTTATGGTCTGAGAGTCCTTCAGATGCCTTTTGGCAAGTTCCAGGTAGAAAGTGGCTTCTGTCCTGGTTGTCCTTCTGTGTATAGTTCTCCTCTCTCCACTGGAGCTCAGACAGAGTGACCTCGAACCGGGCCAAAGCACGCTTGTCCCCTCTCCTGTCTCCCCCGACGGCCCGCACTCACATCACAATCGGGCCTGGGCCCGCTTACGTCATCGATGTTGCGCTGTTCAGTAAGCGCTCTCGCTCAGCACAGTGGAGATTCCCTAGTTATATCGTTTCAGTCGTTTGTTATGCAGTGACATGCAGTCAACTATTTTACCAAACAGTCCTTAGGGATGCGGTGACACGCAGTCAGATATTTCACCGGACAAATCCGCCACTTTTGGCGCTCATAAACAATCATAAAGCCCTCGTGCTGCAGGAATGAGGAGGTTTGCTGAAGGTGCAGCTGTCGTGCAGTGAGGAGTTTGCGTCTTTAATAAACTACGGCAGTTTGCATTCATTGAACAGTAAGATTGATTAATAAATCCATATGAAACAGTCCCTTAAAAGACAGGTCTTGCTTTCAGTTTTGGGCTTTGGTGCGTTTTGCACTCAAACTACAAGCGTACAGCGCCAAAGCCCAAGTGAATCGCGCTCAGGCCCACCTCTTCCAACTGGGCCAGGGCCGACCAAGTGAACTGTGCCCAATTCAGCGCACTCACACTTCTCAAACGATCCGGGAAATGGGCCTGGGCACGGTTCGGATAGCATAGTGTGAGTATGCCCTTAGATGGCCGACCAGCTCTAGGAAGAGTCCTGGTGGTTCCAAACATCTTCCACTTACGGATGATTGAGGTCACTGTGCTCATTGGAACTTTTAGAGCAACAGATTTTTTTCTGTAACCTTCCCCAACCTTGTGCCTTGATACAATCCTGTCTTGGAGGTCTACAGACAATTCCTTTGTCTTCATGCTTGGTTTGTGCTTTGACATGCACTGTCAACCCTGGGACCTTATATAGACAGATGTATGCCTTTTCAAATCATGTCTGATCAACTGAATTTACCACAGGTAAACTCCAATAAAGCTGCTGAAACTTCTCAAAAATGATCAGTGAAAACAGAATGTATTTGAGCGCAATTTAGAGCTTCACGGCAATTTACATGCGATTTTTCAGGTTTTTTATTGTGAATAAATTTGCAAAAATTTCAGAAAATAATTTTTCACCTTGTCATTATGGGTTGTTGTGTAGAATTTTGAGTAAATAAATGAATTTAATCAATTTTGGAATAAAGCTGTAACATTAAAAATGTGGAAAAAGTGAAGCGCTATGAATACTTTCTGGATGCGCTGTATGTTGACCAGCTTGTTTTTCTGTTGATGCTTTTTTTCTTCAGCCTGAGAAGCACGAGTGTGTTTCCCGTCAACATTACAGGAAGCACAAAGGAGTGAAACTCTCAAACTTGGGACCAGGGAACTATTCTGTCCGTGTTCGGGCCACGTCTCTCGCTGGAAACGGATCCTGGACAGAGCCCATAGCTTTCTCCGTGCATCAGCTGGAACGTAGGTTTACCGCCACCTTCAAAACATTGCAATTTGTAATCACGTTATTGAGTTATTCACACTTGTCTGTTTTGCATTTTCAAGAATCCAGTTATGATCCTGTAATGTTTATCGCCATCCTCCCGGCCTTACTGTTAATCGCTGGTCTGGTAGTATTTGGGTACACCTGGATGAACAAGAACCGGTACCAGTTTTATCACTTCTACACTCTCCATATTCTTGTAATTAATTTTTTACAGCATTGTCCCCTCTGGACAAAGCGAATCTATCAGAGACGCTCCAGACGCTGCAATATTAAACGGCAAAGCAATTATCTTGAAATGTTTCCAGCTTGTTCTCTATTAAACGTTTTACTGCTGTTTTTTTCGTAAACAAGTGTTGTCTGGAATCCACAGAAACAATGACAGGCTTGGAAATGGAGTACTTTACGCCTCCGTTAACCCAGAGTACTTCAGTGCAGCAGAGAGTGAGTATGCTGAATCTTATTTTACACATTTTTAGACATTGATTGTAAATTTCACACATAGCTAGAAGCAAGTATGTAACGTGGGCATGTACAGTATTGAAGTAGAATAAATTGGATTTTATTTGCTTTTATTTACTCAAGTAATCTAAGTGTTTTCATAAAGAAACTAACATTCAAAGTTTGGGATCTGTAATATTTGTCTTTTTATTTTTAAAGAATAAGCCTGTATTATATAAAACTGTTCCTCAAGGAATATTATTTGTACCACCGTTTACCTTTCTTTCGAGAGTGTATGAGACAACAGATAATTCTATAAAACATCTTTTTTTTTATTCTATAGTATTGTCTATAGAATCTCATTCAAATAACATTAATTTTCATGCAAAAGAATTCGTAAATGACCTTTGCATCAAGTGTCAAGTTACATTTAGGATTCATTTCTGTTATTTAGAATAATAATTGTATAATAACAATATAACTATTTTATAATGAATATTTTTGTATTTATTAACAAACAAACAAAAAATATATATACATGTATATATTCTTTTTTTTTTTTTTTGGTGGGGTGAGAGGCATTTGAAGTAGGTTCCTGCCCCAATAGAGCTTTATGTCTAGCAGCGCCCCTGTTACTACCTGCATATTGTTTGTAAATTAAATATTTATTAGCAATAAGTATTATTTATTTTTAATAAGCAGCTAATTTGTGGTTTATTGTGCTAAAAGTCCTAGTTAATGGTTTGTTAATAGCATGAACATTAAAAAAGTGTGACTAAACTTAACATAAATACTATACATGAAATTGCGCAAAATTGTATTTTGTACAATGAATTATGCTGAAGAGAGATTTTGAGGTAAAATGATATGTAGGGTTTGTTGAAAGTGACTAGTGTAGATATAGTGGGATAAGTATTGCTGATTAGTGACTATCTACGTGATAATGTATGTTTGCAGTGTATGTGCCGGATGAATGGGAAGTGGAGCGGGAGAAGATCACGATGTGCCGAGAGCTTGGACAGGGGTCGTTTGGTATGGTGTATGAGGGCATCGCCAAAGGTGTCGTTAAAGATGAGCCGGAAACCAGGGTGGCCATTAAAACGGTCAACGAATCGGCCAGTTTACATGAGCGCATTGAGTTCCTTAATGAAGCCTCCGTGATGAAAGAGTTCAACTGTCACCATGTGGTGAGTTAAAGAAATCTCATCTCACTAGCTTAGTTAGACTCTTTTTCCCTTGTAAAAGTTTGACATGCATTACTCAACATTCGACGTGGATCTAAACCTTTCCTCAGAGTTGTCCTGAAACATTTAAACGTCTATTCTTCAATTTTTAAACACTTTCTACTCTTTACTTCAAGTTGAAGTTTTGATCCACTACAAATGTTGACTACTATATGCAATCTCTGATATTTAACATTTATAAATGAACCAATGAGCTTTCTAAATATTGCCAAATTTGGATTGCAGTAGCCTTACAACAAGAATAAACCATTAACATTGTAATGTTGACTTTTAACTGGTGTGTTTTGATTGGTTTAGGTGCATCTGCTGGGTGTGGTCTTCCTTAAGAAGCTTTAAAACTAGAATAAACCATTAACGTTGTAATGTTGACTTAACTTGTGTGTTTTGATTGGTTTAGGTGCGTCTGCTGGGCGTGGTCTCGCAGGGTCAGCCCACTCTGGTTATCATGGAGCTGATGACGAGAGGAGATCTGAAGAGTTACTTACGCTCACTTCGATCCGTTGAGGTAAAGACAGACATAAATCCGACATCTTCATTGAACAAATATCTGGCTGAGCCATTATTCTACATTCCAAAATGTTAGTGACGGCTAGCTGGAAGTGTAGTGAAATTATGAGGCATGATCTAATGATTTCCATTAATCAGAAATAATCTCACATCCATTCATGGCAGATTTATTTATTTGTTTTAAATTTAGCAAATTCAAAGTTAAATTAAATGCAAAACTGTAACAAATTCTAATATATTAACTCTTCAGTGCTTTAAATGCACAGTATTTAATATTTACCACTAGAGGGCGTGTATTTGCAAACAAAAGCATATTTAGGTAAACTGTGGTATCATGGATGTTGTAGTTGGAAATTGGGATTGTATGAACACAACATTAAAACATTTGGTGTAATGCAAGTATACAGTTGAAGTCTAATTATTAGCCCTCTTAAATAGTTTAGCCCTGATGTGCACTACCTAAATAGGCAGCTGATTTTAAGCAAACAAAAAAATTGCATTGATTTGAGACAGCAATTCTGCATGCAAACAATTTATTTTCAGCCTAGTTTTCCACTAGCATGATTCAGGGCTTCTTCATTAAATGCTTAAGACTCGGTTTTGTTCTCTTTCTCCTCCAGAACACCTCCAGCTTGCCTTTGCCGCCATTAAAGAAGATGATTCAGATGGCTGGAGAGATCGCGGATGGCATGGCATACCTCAACGCCAATAAGTTTGTTCACAGAGACTTAGCAGCAAGGAACTGCATGGTGGCTGAAGATTTTATTGTCAAAATCGGTGGTATGTGATGAAATTAATGCTATACTAGTGCTGCATACATAAATAGTTTGTATTTACATAATACAGTGGGGAAAATTAAATATTGAACGTATTTTAATATTGAAATATTTTTATATTGAAATACAAAAATATAAAGGAGCCGTTGACGTAAAATTGAAACAGATTTTGGTAAAAACGCAATCAATGCAAACACAAAAAAAATGTCCAGTATTCTTTTGTTTTATTTTTATGTGTAATAACAATGAAATGACACAAGGAGAAAGAGCTGAACTACTGAAGCGGATTTATTACTTTATATAAAAGGCTTTTTTGGTGATGGCAGCTTAAAGGCGCCTCTTATATGGTGAATGAAGTCACATGCATTGCTCAGGTGTGAGTTTTTTATAGACTTGTCTGGTTCTTGATGGTTCTGTGGAATCCTGATAGCTCTGTGGGTCTTTTCTTTCAAATCTGATCTTTAATTTGTATTTTATATCAGATTCAAGTCAGGTACCTGGTTGGGCCATTCTACAGCTTGATTTTCTTTCTGTGAAAGCATTTGAAAGTTTCCTCGGATGTGTTTTGGATCCTTCTCTTTGCTGAAAGGTCCACCCTGCTTTCATCTTCATCATCCTGCTAATGTAGATGTTGGACTGAAGCAGCTAATATTAATTTACTGTGAGGAAGGGCAGAGGGTTGCTGAAGAACTACTGAGAGATTTCAGCTGCTGTCTGGGCTTTCACTGTCCTTTTTACAGCTCCCTCTCTTCATGTGTTCAGTACTTTTTCCTTGCGTCATTTCATTTTATTATGCATAACTCGATTTGTAAACTAATTAGATTTGTTTTATTTGCATATATCGATTTCTTTGATGGTTACCAACATCCAATGAAAATATCAAGTCAACAGCACCTTTGGTGACGTGTTGAATACATACTTCCCACGCTCTGTGTGTGTGTGTGTGTGTGTGTGTGTGTGTGTGTGTGTGTGTGTGTGTGTGTGTGTGTGTGTGTGTGTGTGTGTGTGTGTGTGTGTGCGTGTGCGTGTGTGCGTGTGCGCGTGCATGCGTGCGTGTGGGTGTGTGTGTGTGCGCGCGAGTGGGTGTATACTGTATATATTTATTTTATATATTTATTTATTTTATCACACACATTGATGTATTCACTTTTAAAATATTAACATCTTAATATTTATATGTAATTTAGTTACTTTTGATATGAATAATGTCTTAATTTTCTGTAGATATACACTCACATAAAGCTGAAGTCAGAATTATTAGCCCCCCTGAATTATTCGCCCCCGTTTATTATTTTCCCCAATTTCTGTTTAACGGAGAGCAGATTTCTTCACCAAATTTCTAAACATAATAGTTTTAATAACTCATTTCTAATATCTGACTTATTTTATCTTTGCCATGATGACAGTAAATAATATTAGACTAGATATTTTTCAAGACACTTCTATACACCTTAAAGTGACATTTAAAGGCTTAACTAGGTTAATTAGGTTAACTAGGCAGGTTAGGGTAAGTTATTGTATAACAATGGTTTGTTCTGTAGACTATCGAAAAATGTATAGCTTAATGGGGCTAATAATTTTTATCCTAAAAAGTTTTTTTTTTTTATTTAAAAAATGCTTTTATTAAAGCCGAAATAAAACGAATAAGACTTTTTCCAGAAAAAAAAATATTATCAAACACACTGTGAAAATTTCCTTGCTCTGTTAAACCTCATTTGGGAAATATTTAAATAAATAAATAAATAAATAAAAGGGGGGCTAATAGTTCTGACTTCAACTATATATGTACGTGTGTATTTATATATACATGATAAATATACATAGCACACACAAACCTATGTAAATGCACATGTTTAATTTGTATGCTAGTCGAGATTAATTGTTTAACAGCATTAGATAATATGGGGAAATTGTATTTCAGTTGCCCAATTTTTATTTTATTTATATGTTTTTGTGTTGTTAGTGATGTGCTAATGTATTGACCAAATACAAACTCTGTAAGGCTGTAATATAGGCTAATTAATATTATTCTTGAGTAGTTTTCATTACAATTTTAAGTCTAATTACAAGAATAAAAATGCAAATACCTATAAAAAATGCCTAATTTTATTTTATTATTGGCCATCAATGTATTTTAATGTTTTGTCTTTTTAATTAATTCATTATTTAATTGAATTTATTTGTATCCAATCAATTTATTTATTATTTAATACTCATTTTCATTTGGATGTACATTGCAGTGTGGAAGAAAATAAATCATACAATTTGTAAAATTTTTATCATCATGAAGTGTAACACACAAGTGGAAAGAAAATCCATATCTCATATTTTATATTTCCATTAAGCAATGTTATGTTGCATGTATGCTAAAAAATATTTGCTTATAGTTTGCAAAATATTTGTATTAACGTTTAGTGCTGTAATGTTTTCACATCAGATTTTCATCCCATCCTAAATAATCAGTTGCTAAAAGAAACTGCACATTTTTTGGCTAAATCTCAAGGTAAGCTATAAAACCTTAATAATTTCACCTCATTTATGCTCAACCTGTAGATTTTGGCATGACGAGAGACATTTATGAGACGGATTACTACAGAAAAGGAGGTAAAGGCCTGCTGCCTGTGCGCTGGATGTCCCCAGAGTCCCTCAAAGATGGAGTGTTCACCACCATGTCTGATGTCTGGTACGTTTTTATGTACTCTTTTAGAGAATCAGTGTGTGGGTGATGTTAAAACACATTGAGATGTACATTGCCAGTCAAAAACTAAACATATTTAAAACTTTGTATTTTTTTTTAAAAAAGAAGCTTATTCTGCCCACCAAGGCTGCATTTTTTTTTTTTTTTGAGGAAAAATATTTTTAATGCTTTATTTTGATGGTTGATTTTAGTATCACTAGATTGTCTGCTTTATATATGCTGATATTGCTGCTAAACAGACATTTAGCTGACTATAAGAAACTTTTCAGGTACATGTCAACTTACTCTAACCCCAACCTAACAGTCTACTTATATTGTATTGACAATTATTTGGCATGTAGATGCAATGTAACTTAAATTCAACAAGCGGACCATCAAAATAAAGTGTATATCACTTAATTACTATATCAAATAATTATTGCTATTATATCATATTAATTGTAGTTTTCAAGTTTTGTTTATCATCACAATTTAGCATCATTAGCCTTCAGTTTCACATGGTTCTTTCGAAATCATTATTTATGTGATGATCTGCTGGTCAATAAATACATTTATTAATTAATTAATTTATTTATTCATTCAATTATTTATTTATTTATTTATTTATTTATTTATTTATTTATTTATTTATTTATTATCATTATATATTATTATTATGTTGAAATTTGTTGGTTTGCTTAATGTTTTTATTTTATCCTAATATGTTTGAAGAAACTGATACACTACCAATGAAATTATTGTTAAAATTAATCTTTTATTTACATTTATTTATCAAGCACACCATGAATGAGAGTACTAAATTATGTAATATTTCTAATGTATTAAAAGCTGTTTCATTTAAGGAAACACTCTTATTTTTAGCTTTTTTTATCAAATAATTGTAAAAATATATCACAATGTCCACAAAACTGTGATGCAAAAAAGAAGTCTACAGTATTGATAATTATTATTGTTAATAACTTATTTAAGGAGTACCATTATTAATTAGTCATAATAGAACAGCAAATCAGCATATTAGAAGCATTTCTTTAATATAATTTGACACTAAATACTGGAGTAATGATGCTAAAAAATCAGCTTTACATCACAAGAATAAATTAAATGTTTATTCTTTATATTACATTACCCCCAAGATGAAGAAAGCATGAAAGTATGGTTTTTGTATTTATGTAGGCTAGAAAATATTATTTTTTGTAATATTTTAACCTTTTAATTCTTTTTCATTTGTAAAGCTATTTGTGTATTGCTGTACATCCTGTGTGTAGTAAGCAATGTGGAAGCGAGGCGCACTACTAACGCAATCTGCGCTGCACTTTATACCTCATCTCAGCTGGTCTTTTGTGCAGTCTATTTTCCTCAAAATGTTGTGAAAAAGTCTATGTTGAGGAAAAGGACAGTCTATGTTCCTCAATATAGCAACGTGCTAGCAATGCGCCTTAACACACCTTCTTTTTTAGACCAGAACACCTGTGGGCGCACATATGAGCGCAAATACATTTGCTATTTAAACCGCGTGATGCAAAACGTCAAAATGACTTTAGCACCGAGCTGAAACTAGTAAACAACAATTACTTCGCGCCTTACGCCGCATTGCGCCGGGTGTATGCTAGGGCCCTTTATTGTAATCATTTGACAAATTCGATTTTTTTAAGTAACGCAATACTTACTTTCCCTGGTAATTTGTTACTTAGAATTATGAAAATTAGTTACTTTTTGTGAGAACAGTAACTAGTAATTATAACTAATTACTCTTTTAAGGGAACGTGCCCAACACTGGTCATAATAGAACAACAAATAAGGACCTTATTAACCTTTTTAACGGTGCTTAAAAAATCAGCTTTGCGTCACATTAATAAATAAAATGTTAAACTACAAACAACTATTTTAAATCAATATATTTAATTCTGATTAAATAAATTCAATACAATAAAAAAAATAATCTCACTACAGTGCGCTGTATATCTGGCGTCAGCCCATCTATTTTTTCCCAGACATCTGCATTTGAGTGCAAAACCGCCCCGGCGACCACTTCAGTTCCTCCGCTGGCTGCACGAGAAATGAAAACCACACTCAACACACATTTTCCATTACACGCAGCATACGTTAATGCGGCAGGCAATGAGGAGAAACGTCTTTCCATATATTTCAAATGAAGCTGGCGATCAAGCCTCATCGGCCTGCATATGAGCTAGAAACATTTCCCCCTCGTATGCTTTTCTCATTTGACTAGACTTTCAAAGAAAACCTCAGGGAGTCTAGACTGCGCTTTTTTTTTTCTTCTTCCGGAAACGGCAACAGCTGCGGCTGATATGAGCAGCATTCCAGAGCCTGGAGGAATCCGTCCTCTTGTGTCGTGATAAGTGGCCGTTTGCACTCGCTTGGAGGTTCGCCCTTAAATCTTTTGTTAAGGATCAGAATCGTGCACTCCTCAGGTTCAGGAAGAGGATTGAACTTAATTACACAGAGCTCTCGGGTTTCCTTCAGGTGTCTGGAGTGTCTGACCCTACAGTTCACCTTTTATGTCCGTCCAGGGTCACAGTTAGGTCTTGATGAGGCAGAATGGCTTGTAAGAATTACAAAGAAAAGGACACGGTGTGCTTTGGTGGTTATTACAAATTTAGTATAGCAGTGTTCATTTTGACAGCAAATAGTCTTTTGACTAAAATTCCATTATAGATTTAGTCATATTTTAGTCTTCTGGATCATCTTAGTTTTAGTCTACTAAATTTAATAAGGTTTTAGTCAAATAAATCTACGCTACATTTAACTGACTAAAATATATTTGGTTTAATTTAAGTAATTTAATACAAATATTGTGTACATTTATTTGTTCAAAATGTTGTAACTTAAAGATAAATAAAACTCTCTTTTTAAAATGTGGAATATAACTTTTCCATCCAAGACCAAAAATTAGATATGCGTTGTTTATTTTTCTTGTAAGTAATACGTAAAATTATGTGTCGGCAAGAACAGTAGCCTACTGAAAATGCAGGATTTTGCACATTATTTTTAAACCTCTTACTTTAACGTGGTAAACTACTAGTGTTTTTAACCAGTCTGTTGAACCGTTTCAAGCCATTAAATCTTTGAAAGGTCCACTTTGCAATGTCAGTATATACCACAAGCTCTACTGTTGTAGTTGATGCTACAGTTCACAGTGCTCAATCACATTTTCGTCTCGTTTTTATTAGTCAACAAACATGTCAGTATAATTTGTTATAGTTAACATCATTATCACATAATTTGAATTTAGTTTTTGTCTCGTTTTTATCGGTAGACACTTGTTCTTCACGAAAATTATGATTGAAAAATTTTCATCAACAAAATTAATATTGTAGTATAGTTGAAAATAATAAACAATTTGCAACAGAGCAATTTCAGCGTCGTGGATATGACATTTGCAGTAAAACCTTGACACATAAATTTACAGGGAATATATGTTAACAGTATATGGTAACATCTGCTACCAAAACAACTAACCACAGTTAAAAAATCTAAAAAATATCAAGCTGTAAATGTATTTTATATTTTAATTGAGGGAAATAAACATGCATCACGTGATTTTGTGACGCCAAATTGAAGTGCATAATCATCTATAATTTCAAACAGAGACAAATAGATGACCATTTTACCGATTTATGCCTGCATTTAATTATGCTTGATGGTGCATATGGTCAAGCTTGAAGCTTCACATTGACGTTATTATGATAGCAACAACCGCCAATCACATCCAGCTTGGATCGTGTCACAAAAAAGCCACAGAAGTAGTTGTTGTGATCAGAAATGGATTATTTAGTGAATACAAACAATGATGATCAACTTTGACGTACCTCTATTTTCGGGTGGTGCAAGAACTGCTGTACATGTTGCATCAGCACTAATACATTTGCATATTTGCATCTGATTGGCTGACACCTGTGTTGGTGACTTGAAGAGCTAAAGTTAACATTATTAGATTATTACTATTAGTAATAGTAGTATGGTTATTAGAATTTTTTTCAGATAAAAAACAGATAAAAACACTTTCCTCCGGGTGCTCCGGTTTCCCCCACAGTCCAAAGACATGTGGTACAGGTGAATTAGGTAGGCTAAATTGTCCATAGTGTATGAGTGTGTATGGATGTTTCCCAGGAATGGGTTGCGGCTGGAAGTGCATCCGCTTCGTAAAACGTGCTGGATAAGTTGGCGGTTCATTCCACTGTGGCGACCCCAGATTAATAAAGGGATCAAGCTGAAAAGAAAATGAATAAATGAAATGAGTTGATGATTTACAGTCTTATGTAAAGTGTTTCAGAATTTTGCAACAGCCTGAGATGTTTTTTTTTTGCTGCCTTTGAAGCTTTTTGTATCTAATTTTGTCTGCAAAAATGTAATACGAAAGAAAAAGAAAAAGCTTTGCTCGAGTCAAGTGCAACTGAAGGTATTTCTGTTATGTGCTTAATAGCTTTATCATCAACAGACCACAGTATATGTTATATCATTTGTCTGAGCGGTCGACGCATTATAATGACAACTCGCTCCCATTTGTAGGTTTTATGCAGTTAGAGCACACATCACTCACGTTCTCTGGGAAAAATATTGATATTTCTTGAAAAAACATCTTCAGGGAACAGTTCTTTCAGCTTCAGTGCAACTAAGAAATGAAAGTCAAATCAGTCATTTGGTGGTGTGAAACATCTTTTCAAACTTTTTGCATCTGCTGTGGTTTTCAGGTCTTTCGGGGTGGTTTTGTGGGAAATAGCCACCCTGGCGGAGCAGCCGTATCAGGGGATGTCCAATGAGCAGGTCCTGCGGTTCGTGATGGAGGGAGGCCTGCTGGACAAACCAGACAACTGCCCTGACATGCTGTAAGTTGTCTTTCACTCACTCACAATCTGTATTTGATGCTTTGAAATAGGCTGAAAAATAGAAAAATCTGTTATTGCCATATTTTGTTTTGCTGCGATATACAGTTAAGTCAGAATTATTAGCCCCACTTTGATTTATTTTTTTTCTTTTTAAAATATTTTCCAAATGATGTTTAACAGAGCAAGGACATTTTCACAGTATGTCTGATAATATGTTTTCTTCTGGAGAAAGTCTTATTTGTTTTATTTTGGCTAGAATAAAAACAGTTTTTTTATTTTATAACACCATTTTAAGGACAAAACTATTAGCCACTTCAAACTATATATTTTTTCGATAGTCTGCAGAACAAACCAACATTTTACAATACATTTCCTAATTCCCCTAACCTGCCTAGTTAACCTAATTAACCTAGTTAAGCCTTTAAATGTCACTTTAAGCTGTATAGAAGTGTCTTTAAAAATATCTAGTCAAATATTATTTACTGTCATCATGGCAAAGATAAAATAAATCAGTTATTAGAAATAAGTTTTTAAAACTATTATGTTTAGAAATTTGTTGAAATTTTTGTCGCTCCGTTAAACAGAAATTGGAAAAAAAAATAATAATCTGACTTCAACTGTTAGTTGTGTTATGAATATAAGTTTATCAAATGATTTGAATTGCTCTATTTGAAAAGATTTCATTTATTTAGATTTATGTTGGGATGATCAAGTCTTTTTCTGTGCTGTGTTTGCATAAATTATTATAAATTATAAGCGTATATAAAATACAACAGAGCGGAGATAAAAGTTAAGTAAACAGTTCTTTATGCTTTTCTGGGGAGTCAGATGCTGAAACGCAGATAAAGAGTCAAGCGCGAGTGATTGTTAAGTCAATGCAAAGACGCGAATAGACATACTGAGGTGTGATTTGCGCAAATTAGGTGGCGTGAATGAAGGAATCAATATGAATGAAGCAGCTTGAAAATCTGAACTTCGATGGACATTTGCGCTGCGTTAACCAATCAGAAGCTTACTCTTGTACGGGCACGATTGTGATGTAGTGCCTCTTGTTGGTGTCCCAAGGGGAACTCTTGCTGACACTGGACAACAGTTCATCAAATTGGACTGGGCTCAGTCTGAAGCACAGATGAAACGCTAGACTCTTATCGCACGATTAAGTTAATCTATTCTTAAAGTTGGGTTGGGAGCTGGGTCTATTCTACGCATGCTATGATGGCTTTCACCTTAATATTTTAGCGCAGATTTATACCTGACCGGTGAGCCATCTGACAAAAAATGGCCCTTCTGAATCAAATCAGCAGTATGCCTGACTTTAATTGCAGTTTAGCAGTTTCACTTTAACTCATGAACATTTCATCCATGCCCCCGTGACAAACTAGAGTATTAGATGCAAATAAGGAGTAAAGAATTAAGATAGTGTTATGGAATTTAAAAACACACGGCTATGGAAAGAAAAAAAACATCTGCATTTCGCAGTGTGTGTTTGTGTGTGTGCGCGTGTGGTCATTTACTGGTCATTTGTGTGTAGATCTTGTCGGAAAATATGTCGAAAAGTCCTATATGACGGTGATTACTGATCGCTGTGTTCACTTCAATATAGTGCCACTAATATGTGCATACTCCAAGTCTTAACTCAATTTCTATTTAGTTCAGTTATGACTTCAGGGATGACTTTAGATGACGTTAAGGTGATCAAAAATCGCTGTTTGGAGCTTATGTAGGCCTACAGTTCAAAATTCATGTTTAACTGAATAAACAGTTAGTAAACACAAGTACATCTTATTGAACATCCTTTATTTTCATCACCAATTATCATAGTAGAACAGTTTCTCAAGCAGTTTGTGATGCATTTTGGAAACAGGAGATGAGCCCCTTGTCTAATGCGCCACCTGGCTTGATAAACTTGGGTATTTGGGTAGCACATATATTCTGAATTCCTTCCGCAGAATTCAAATGAGCCATTTTAATCTAGATTAATTCCGAGATTAATCTAGATTTTAAAAAATTAATCCATGTCCACCTATAGTTATAAAATAGTATATATTATAAATAGAGGTGCACTGAAATTCAATTTCTGAAAACTGGAAATTCTTTAAGCACCAAAACCCAAAAATGCTTTGTAATATTTATTTGTCCTTTTAAAAAATATTATAAATTACATTATACTGGCTTTAAAAAATAGCACAGGTTAATAAAATGAATATTTTGAGAGTCAACAAATCAAGAGGCATAATTTTTATGACAGCACAGTAGCGCAATAGGAACAAGCAGCAGGAAGAAGTGTACTATAGGAAAATGTTCTGTGTGTGTGTTAATCCTATATTATACTGTTTAACAGAATTATGATGCAGCATTATATTGCACATGCACTGCAACAAGCACAAACTATTTTTATTTTAGCACAATTTTGTTTAATTTAGCAAATCCAAACTAAATATCTTTGTGTTTAGCCTTTTTCACTTATTTCAAGCTTGAACTGTGCTTTTAAAAGTAGAAAGTCTGCCACCTACTGTATGATGGACATTACAAACACTAAAAACTAGAGCTGACATACAAATCTGGATTAGCTGGAGAATTAATGCTGTTTACTCGACAGTTTTTGACTCTGGCCGTTGTTGCTTTTGGATTTTAAAACTACTGCTCTTGCCGTTGATGCTGTGCTCTAAATTTAAGTACAAGTTGTTGATGCGAGAGCACTGGGTTTTCTTTGGCCTGATATGAGTAAGGTTTTCATCTGGCTTCAGGTCTGTGTTTAATGTAAAGTGAGAGAGCTCTATGTGACATATGAGCACTCAAAACACTGCTGGAAGACCGTGTTTTGAATAATATAACGTTAAACCAGAAAGTTAGATATTGTTTGTTTGTGTGTGCATGCTTGTGTGTGTGTGTGTGTGTGTGTGTGTGTGTGTGTGTGTGTGTGTGTGTGTGTGTGTGTGTGTGTGTGTGTGCGTGCGTGCGTGCGTGCGTGCGTGCGTGCGTGCGTGCGTGCGTGCGTGCGTGCGTGCGTGCGTGCGTGCGTGCGTGCGTGCGTGCGTGCGTGCGTACAGCCCTCACAAATCTTTTAAATTCATATTTTTAATAGAAAGCTATGCAATATTATATTTGTGCATATGCATTAGATTATAGTCAGTACTGAACCAAATCTGGAGCTTATCTACAGTAACAAAATAACTTAATAAAAAATAACCATCCAAAAACTAGTACAGCCAAATTTGTTATTGAAAGATATTAAATATTTTTTAAAGAGGAAAAATAAAGAGAAGCAAAAAAAAAAAAAAGTACAAATGTTGAAACAAAAGTGAAATTTTGTAGTTTGTAATTTTTCCCCCCAATATTTTTCTTAAATTGAATTGTATTATCTTTCAATTTCTGAATATGTTTGGTGACTAAATTATAAGTTTAAAAAAAATAAATCTGTTTTGTTTAAATGCACCAAAATACATTGCCTATATTCACTGAGAAATGGTTAAAAATATTCATTTTTAAAATAAGCTGTACTAGGCTTGGGCGGTATCCAAATTTTGATACCGTCAAACCGCCTCCATATTTTACCCCGGTTTCCGGTATTACCGGCGTAATAAAAAAAATTATGACGTAAGGCTCAGACAGCGTCATCAAACTGTTGGCTTGAGCCTAAACCATTCAGAAACTGAATACTTCTATGCGACCTTAGGCTCGCGGTCAGGGAGAGAGAGAGAGAGAGAGAGAGAGAGAGAGAGAGAGAGAGAGAGAGAGAGAGAGAGAGAGAGAGAGAGAGGCGACGCGACGCGACGCACAGCACCTCTCTCTCTCTCACACACACACACATACACACACACATCTCTCCCGCGATTTATTCAGAAATTTACTCCCACACCATAAGAAATCTGGCCGGTTCCCGCGGTACTGCAGCGGGAATGCAGAGCTGTAATCGGGCCATAAAAATTATACCCGATAGGTCCCGAGTCCGACAGGTACAGTTTGATTGACAGCTTTATAAAGCCCGAACCCATTTACAGCCCGACATTATTCAAATGTGCTCATGCACACAGCTCTATTGCAATTTTTCAAGAATGAGTCATTTATATGTTTAACATCATTTATTCGTAACAAACGTAGACTATAGGCCACTTGAAAGTTGGAACAAAGAAATAAAATAAGTCCTATAGCTGTAACATCGTAACATATCAGCACTGTATAGGTCTAGATACATGCACTTAGCCTTTAAATTAGCCTACACACAAATGAAAAAAAATCTTTCTTAACAAATCAAATTAAAATAAACTCTAAATGATGACGGGTTTTTTTTTTTATCAATAACGAAATTAAGATAAAGGCTCTGCAAGGTTTGTTTTTCAACTTCTCTTCACAATCTGGCATTAAGGCGGCGGTGAAGCTGAATATTAAAAGAATAATGCCACCATTAGCCTGTATACTCTGTCTACATTATGATTATATGGTTTAATTAATATTTATTTATAATTGAAAAACCCTTTACTCACCAAGATTAGGCTACGTGTGTTTGTGGAGGAACATTTAAATCCACAGGCTTTAGCGCAGCCCTGCGCTCACGGGGTCTAGCAGCTGAACACCCTTTCCTGCGGCTACAGGTCGAGATGCAGAGTTCTGATCTGGCTGATTTTGCAAGTTTTGGGTTGGATTGTTTGTTCATCTTCTACCAGTCAGGAACATCCATTTAACTTTCCATGACAGCAGTTTCACTTTAGCGAATGGCCTCTTCTTTTTACCTGTCAGCTTGCGGTTTAGGGCTCTACCGTAATATGCAGTGTATGAGCGACCGCGAAATACCTGCGGCTGGAATGCGCTCTTTCTGAGCTAGTGACTGGCTTGACCGCTGTAATAATTCGCTTTTTTTACTACTTCATCATCATTTGTTTCACCTTTGCAGGGATGGATTTTAATGCAGGGATTTGGATTTTTTCGGGTCTCGCCGGGTTCGGGCAAAGATCTTCAGCTCTAATGCAGACCTCTCGTTCATATTAGCCACGTCTCCCTTC